GGGTAGTTGCACAGAAAGTGCTGTAATGGGTCGAGACGACGGGGGTTCTGTAGAAAGAACGGGTGGCGACGAATCCAAAGGCTTGTCTAGAGGAAGGCACTAGGCCTGTTGGTAATGTTGGAGTGCAGCGGCGGCAATGGTGCGTTGGGTTCCAAGGTCGGGATAAAGTTGGGGTCAGTGTGGATTTTTGGCGATACGCCGCAGCAGCAGCAACAGAGTTGATGGCTGGGAATTCGGACTCCCAGAAGGTGACGTCACAAGAATAATTCAATAAATGATAGTGCAAATGCATGAGGGTATAACCCTTTCGATCATGTGGGAGACCCACAAACATGGCCTTGACGGCACGGGGATCGAGCTTGGAGGATTGCGCGGCATGTTGAATGTGCACAAACGCGGTGCAACCAAAGGTTTTGATGTGACCCAAGGATGGGTGTCGTTTAAAGACGACGAGGTAGGGCGAAACACCTTTGTTGGATGCCGAAGGAGATATGTTGATAAGCCATGAGGCATAATCAAGGGCAAGATCCCATAGGAACTTGGGCAGAGCCCCTTCAATGAGCATAGCTCGCATCTTTTGCACAACAACGCCGATACGGCGTTCGGCAACAGCGTTTTGTTGGGGGAGGAGGCGTTGGAGAATGCCACTCGAGTGTTGTACTTGGGCTTGATAATGAGCCCGAGTTTCTCGTACCCTTTCGCATTGTCGCTTTGAAGAGTGCCGATGTCAATGGGTGATGAGTGGCGCAGCTCACAGACATGTTTAAAAATGGACATGGCGTCTGTACGAAATAGTAGGTCTCATAGAGATCTTTGCGAAAACGCATGGGGTAGGTCCACATAAAGCGGGAGTAGTCGTCGATGAAAACAACAAAGTAGGCAGCGCCACCCGCCGACAAAATCGGGCTTGGACCCCAAACATCAGAGTGTACAAGGGTTAGGTAGGAGGTTGCGCGGAAGACCGCAGATGAGTCAAAAGGACTACGTTTAGACTTGGCATAAACACAAGTTTCACATAGTTGACCACGAAGGTGCTTGGCCTTGAAGAGCATAAGTTCGGGGTTTGTCTTTATCATTTGGTTGAAGGCATCAACGCCTGGATGGCCGAGATGGCGGTGCCAGAGGCGCGCAAGGCTAGCTGCCGATAGCTTGGAGTCAGCCACGAGGCTAGTGAGGCAGTCGGTTGAAACAGTAGTAGTGTCATAGACTGGGGTAGGAGTGTGTGAACCAAGCATAGCCTGGGCGACACTCATGGAGACAGAGTCTGGAGTGATGGGGTAGAACGGTGTTGGCTTGAGGACCATAGATGGTCGTTGAATGATTGGCGCATAGCGCAACACAGACGAATATGCAAACATGTGCAATTGATCGTTAAAAGTGGAAAATCCACTGTAGGTCGAGGAGAATTTCCGCAGAGCGGTCTCAAAGGTGGCCATCATGCCAGTTAGCATGGCCATTTGGCCCGGATGGATATATATCAGGTGGCCATCATGCCAGTAAGCATGGCCATCGCCACGGTGCGGATCGGTTGAGGGCTCACACTTGGGCTGGCAGGGAAAGGAATATAAACCCATGGCGTTGTTAGGTGCACGAAACACATCACCAAGAGAGGTGGTAATTTCGCACATTTCGCGAGCCGTAAAACGGCCTGAGATACCTTCATCGGTCGCTTGGCGAACCGAGAACAAGTTGAACTGTAGTTCAGGGCAATGTAGGCCAAAGGTGAGGCGTAGAGCGCATGGACGAATATCGTCAGCTTGGTCACGGGACGACATGTCCACGGCCAAAGAAAGAGGGCCATAGCCAAGGACGGGAAGCTGGGCGCCGTTCCCGACTGTAAGAGACAGTGCGCAAGGATCGTAGTTGGAGAAATAATCTCGGTTGGGGGTGCATGAGGCAGAGGCGCCAGAGTCAACAATCCAATGTTCGCGCAGAGCGGGAAAGTCATTTGGACGATAAGTCACCGACATGGGTAGGGGCGGATCACCGGGGTCGCTTTCACAGTAGCGTAGGTCCGCATGAAGGGCAATAATGCCTTGTCCAACAACAACTTGGAATGGGGGATAGGGACGGACACCGTCCACACATCTTGGGGGTAATTGGAGAACCACCTTGATCGGTGTTTCCGACGCCGCTGTGATAATATCACTGCGTGTGGCCGAGAAGGCACTGGGTGGGAACAGTGGAAGATCCACTTTGGTTGGGTTCGTGGGAATTTGGAACAATGGTCGTGGTGGGTAGAGAGGCAAACGCTCGGTAATAAGTACCTCGGCAGAAGGGACTTCAGCGAAGTCTAAGTCGCCGGCATTCACAGGAGATGGGAAGTGATCGGGGAGCTCTTCCGGTGCGTCAGTGATGGGAGCGAGGGTAGTAGCCGCAATAAGCGGAGGTTAATGGGGCGGAGATGCAAAAACATCGCAGAGTGGGGCAGAGCCCGGTTGGAACACCTTTGGTAGAACCGATGATGGGTTGGGACGCTGGAGGACCCGGTTGAGAGTGGAGGGAGGCACAAAGTGGTGGGATAAGATGTGGGTGTTGGCAAAGCCATTGAGGCGATTGCCTTCATGAATAAATGGACAAGCGGCTGCACGAGCAGCAGTGCCAGTCTGGTCATAAAGACCCCCACGATGAGTGCGGCCGTAGCCTTGGTCGCGTTGTCGATCACGGCTGCGATCACGGTTTTTGTCACGGCTGTTGCCCCGATTGTTGTTCCACCCACCATTTCCAGAACCACTAGAGAAACTTGGTCCCCATCCATGGTGGCTATTAGAGCCCTGGTTGTCACTAGGGCCATCGCGATCATCGCGGTCATCACGAGGATGTTGGATAGGACGCGACGAAGCGACATAATCGCGTTTGCGCTTCTTTTGGGAGGCAGAGCCATGTTTGTCAAAGACGGCGCGGTCAAAACCAGGACGCATAGTGTTGCGGGCATAGTCCGATTTTAGGGTGGGGCACGCAGGAAGCGTGTGATTCGTAACACCGCAGTAAAAGCAGGACTTGACAGGGTGATTGATACAATCACGGTGAGCATAGCTCGGGATAGTGAAAGCGTTCATAACATGAACTGAGCCATCAGCTTGCGTAATCGCTTGGGGTGGTGGTGCAGGGACCGCAACGGCATGCGTGACAGCTGCAAGCTGGGTTCGCGTTTGAAGGGTAGCGGCAGAGCCGTTGTCACCCAGAGCAGAAGCTCGTTGCAGGCGGTTCGTAATAATACGCCGAAGAGAGGCCCAAACGTCAGCAACGACAACGGACTAGTTAGCGGCGCGCGCGGTGGCCACTGAGTTTGTCACAACTTCCCACAATTCCTTGTCACCAATAAAGGTGTTGGACATCGCACACAGAGTGTAGTAATTCCAGATATGGTTGTGATAGTCGACGGACGAGATCGCCGATGGATCCAGAGGATTGAACGACGGCGGCGTCATATCACCCGGTAGCGCTTGACAAGGTCAATAAGTTCCACGGAGAGAGTGTCAATGCAACCCTCATCGGTGAACTTGAGAGTGCGCAGATAGCTGGCAATGACCGTGGGGTTGTTGTCCATGGGGTTCGACTCGAAACGAGTCTTGATATGCTCAAAGAGCTCGAACGGACACGTAGTGGCCTGATAGAGGCGCCGGAGGTTGGTAGAAATGGCTGAGACTAAGAAGGTGTGCGCCGCAGTGTTGATTCGCCAGTTTCTTGGTCGCCTCACGGGCAATGACCTCACGTTGGATGGCGGTGGTGTGCGCCTTGATTTCAGCTAGACGCGCATCGCGATCGGTTTCCGATAGAGTCGGGTCGACGACGTAGAGCTCAGAGTGCTCAACGTGATCAAGTTCAAGATACATCTGCTAATGTTGAGCGCATCAATACGGTTCCCTTGAGGGACATAGTCCTGGGTGGAGTAGAACTCGGCAAGGTCGCCGGACGTGGCTTGGGACAAGAAGTCCGATTTCCAGATCGTGTAGGCCAGAGGCCGTAGGTCGTCGAGTGGGGTGCCCACGAAGGGCTGCACAGAGGAAGGGAGGAGGCTTATAACCTGTCAAGAGGGACGATGTAGGGGGTAGCACTGAGGAGGAACGACGACGAAGAACACTTGTGTGGTCGAGGGCAAAACCAAAGATGATCATTAACGGTCTGTTTAGCTGACCTATGATTCAAACCAAGAACGGCCAAAGTGCCCCTTCTTGACAAAACCTATTCAGGAAGCGCCATGCTGATCAATAGATGTACTACGTATTACAGTACTGTAATAGTACCGTCTTGTGCATTACGACAGCATTACGAGTGAGACTGATCTGCCTTTATCCGAATCCGGATCGACGTCACACGGTACTCGTAGATGATACTAGTACTAGTATTAGCTTTCTTTTGAGACATACAACAAGCAAGATAAACGGAGACAATTAAGAATGCTAGTTGCATATAAATTTTGAAAAGGTATTGAAAGGGAGAGCTACCCAATTCAATAAAAATTGCACCAAAAGAATACAAAACTCAGTTTATTATAATTGAGTAGAAAAATGCACTTATTGCGCCTGAACAATTTTCTCATGTTCAACTAAAGAATTGCTCATGTCATGTTGAGGTCCAGAGTCTCCTCGATAGCACAAGTAGACTCATCCAACACAACCTCATCGACAACTCCACCAATCTCGTCGACATCAGTGAGTCCACCATCGACAAGGTGGCACTTCCTAAAACCATTCACGATTGTAGAATTGGAAAAAAACAACCCAGGCGTCTGCAATCCATCCAACAATCGTCGCACGCAACGATGCTTGAAGCTTGAATGGTACGCCTAGCTGCTTTGCATTCCAGAACTGGTCTGCGAACGAATTGTTCCTGCTTTTGGCCATTCCTGCTTTTGAAAAATCAGTTTGATTGGCTACAATTATCCGTAATCCGAATGTACTCCTTGCTTTTCGTGTCATGAAAAGCATGGACTCTCCATCCCTGCCTGTAACCAGTCATTCCTGCTTTTCGCACGCTTTTGTGCGACCAAGTCAGCCATGTCCGACCATGAGGTCCAACCGCCGGTAGAGATGGTGCTAGGTTGATGCAACACATACATACATATCATGCGTCACACATAAAACCATAGATGCTGCCACCCCGAAGGCCAAGGCAGGCAAGAGCAAGGAGAAGAAAGCGTCCTCGGAGACCAAACGCTCTGTCCGGTGGTGCGATGAGAGTGTGGCGACACTCTTTCGCCTCCGTTACGACTCGCATTTGGCAAAAAGGTTCGAGTCCAAGAAAAACACCGAGAAGAAGACGGCGTACGTGATGTTGGCGGCGGAGCTTGGTGCTCGGTAAGGTTCTCTTGGAGAGCTGCTTTGACCTTTGACTTGCCGGTCTTGATGATCACCAGGAAGATAGGGTACTTGGTGCCGCTGGAGTCCCCGAGCAGCAACGCAGTCACACGGTCCTTCGTCTTGCCACCACACTTGACTCACCCCGTCTTATCTCCGCTGGTGTTGATTGTCTTGGTTGGTAGGTACTCGTAGTTGACTCCCGTCTGATCAACATTGTAGACACGGTCGATGCAGTGCTCTCGCATGAGAGCCTTGACGCGTTCCGAGAAGGACTCCAGTGCGTCCCACCCATCTTGGGGCGTGTCTTGGCCAACGCGAGTGCGACAGCGGAGAGAGAAATCATAACGGCGTTTGAACCCGTCGGCCCAGTGCCAGCCAGCAAGGAACTTATGGTCGTCGAGTCCTAGGTCAAGGGCTGCCTCCAGGCCATGATGCGTAAAATGGCGTGTATCACGGGTATGCCATCCTTGCGCATGTCAAGGACCCAGCGCAGCAGTTGTTCCTCGGCCTCCAGCGTAAGTCTCGTTGCCGTCCCAAGTGGTCGCCAGCATCTCTTCTCCGCGGTGGATTGATTTGATCCTAACTATTGTATGTGCTCATGCTTTGCCACCCATGTGTACACTCGTTTTCGCATGGACTCGCGCGCTGTTGCCGTCAAGGTACCTTAATATGCGCCTAGCGTTGCACAGGTGCCGTAGTACTGGATGACTGCGAGTCTCTCACTGTATGTCCCAACCCTATTCTTAAGCTGCTTAGGCTTCTTCTTGGGCCCGTACTTTGAAACTGGTCGTCCCCTTGATGACGCCCGGGACACACTAGGCAACCCCGTCACCGTAATGTGCACGAAAATCGCGCGCTTGTACCTCTCAAAATTACCTCTATAAATGAATATTTGATTGTGTTTAGGAGTATTATTAAGATTAAGAGTGTATCCTGGCGCGAACTATAACCTCTTGAAGCCTTGTATTAATCCAACCTACTCTTCTCATTAAAGTAGCGTTTTAAGCTGGCGTTTGTAAGGGTCAAAAAGTGTATTTTGCTTTTAACTATGGTGAAATTTCAAATGAGGTCGTTTTTAAAATGAAATCTGATTAGCTTGATGCGAAATTTTCTACTTTTGGCTTGGATTTCCAGCTTACACTTTTCAAATGCCCTGCCACACTTTTGATCAGAAATGTCCAAATTTAATGACCTGTTTTCAGAAATGACCACCAAAGAGTCATGGTTAGCATTATGGAAAAGGGTTAGTATACAATGTTTTAACGAATGACGATGACGTTGTGGAAGTGACACAGCTGTGGTGTCGTTTCCGATACAAATGTCAAGTGATTTGGCCGTCGAGGAGGGACGGCACTCCCACTTAAACGCTATACTTAAACCACGTAGAAATGACCTGCCATGAATTTTTTTCGAAACGCTTCTTTCACACACTGTACGGTACGAGTACTGTATACATATAAGTAACCAGATATATTTCGTCCAGAGCAGTCAGAAAACTCAGTTTTCAATAGGAAAACACAATAACTAAGACGCAACTATTCTATTCGGCCAAATATTGTTGTTGTGACATATGATCGAAGGAATACGAAATTCTCTATCATCATGATATCTCACCAATTGCAATTCACTAACCTGCAATATTACGTCCCATGTAGTCAGATAACACTACTTTCAATATGCAAACACAAAGCAATGACACAACTATTCTATTGGTGATATATTGGTGTATAATTAGACTGTCGTGGCATCACAATTCTGGCATGGCGTCATTCGAGAATTGTGTTTGAGGATGCAAGGTACGTTCATGTCATGCATGTTCTTCTCGGTGTTAGGTTAAAATAGCAATGTGAGTGGGTCCAAAGTGACGGACTTACGAAACGCACTGCAGCATACACGGGGAGGCTGTTGCACACCGTGCCAACCCGACAATATGTTGATGCTGTTAGTCAGGAATTGAAATCAAATGGCAAAGGTATATCTGGCACTGATGTCGTTTGGTTAGGCAAGAACGAATTGAAAGCTAAGGCTACGGCCAAGCCAGCGAGCGTTAACTTGAATGTGATGGAAGCTACCCCGATGGAACCGAATGTCATGGCCCAATCAGGAGTGACTATGGAACGCACCAAAGTGTCGGCCAAATGAAAGGCCAAGTCGACAACGACGGCGTCGACAAAAGGGTAGGTGAAGTTGAAGGCACCACCCTGGATCACCGCAACAGTGCAGCATTTACCAACAACTGTCGCAGACGGCGAACAATTTCTGCCTAATGCGTGGAGCGAAGCTCAGCGCGAGTTGTTGCAACGCGTTAAGTTGGAGTATCCAAGCGATTCGGACGACGAACCCAAGAATGACCTCGATGTGTAACCAAACCTACATTTCTATTATGGAATTGCCTGAATCATTTTTTCACCGCAGCGTAGGTGCGAAACCCTTGCTGTTTCCACGAAGCACATTGACCTTCACACCATGTGTCCCTGGACATGTTATTCGTTATTGCGTGCCACGCAACGTCGTAGTAATAAAGAACCCATCGTCCAAAGTGTGTTGACGGACGTGTTGTTCGTCACGTTGTTCAATTGAAATATGTGAAGGGCCGAAACCCTTGCTGTATTCAGTGAAGCAAATTATCGTGCATATCAACTTTTTACCGAAGTATTTTTCCTCATGTGATGCCACATAACACGGTGATAGTTCGAAACAACTGATACTTGACTGCCGAACGCCTTCCGAAGTGTATACGGAAGTACTGTTAACCACATCCAACACATCGGGCGTGCCTGCAAGATAGGTCGACTGCACTTTGACCAACATATCACGAGTTAATCTGCGGAGCTATTGCAGTGCCCGCGAGATGGTGCCGACTGTGTTCTGACCAACATGTCACGAGACAATTAGCGATGTGATTGGACAAACCCGCAAGTTGGCACCGACTTGCATTCTGACATACACGTCACGTGTCAACGACACAAATGGATGTTCCTGCGAAATGGAGCTAACTGCTTGCAAGCCAACGCGTCAAAGACCACATCGTTACTGAGTTTAGATGCGCGAATTGGTCTTAGCATAGTTGCAAGGCTTCTACCGGAGCCTTTCCTACTTCCAGTGCCCCCACAGCTACATGCACTGATTCCCATCTTCAAAATACCGAACCCCGTTCTACCGCAGATAGGAGAGTTTTCAATGCATACTAGTACTACAAACAGAATATGCCTGAAAACTATGCGAGGCTCAAATACGACTACAAATAAGTAGTAACGAGCTCCAACCGAAATTAACTCCGGCAGCAGAGCAACGGGCTCACCTAGTTGATTGGGTAAAATACCCTTCTCAGCAACTTACCTTGCCTTCAATTTCAGTATGATAGCAACCATTACGGATGCTCTTAACCCACTGAAGTAAATTCAGCTCAGTCGCGGCACTCAAGCTGGTGCCAATGCCTTCTCCGTGAGCAATCTTGAGATTCCGGCTTGAGTAACCGTACTCATCGATCAGTGCGCGTTATCGATCCCACTTGTTGAGATTCAAGCACGATCTCCGACAATTGACACAACGCAGTAGCGAATCGAAGTGGAAGCGCCGCCGTTGTGCCCTGAAGGTGTTAGTGGTTGATCATGTCGAGTTTCTCGCGGAACCTGTATGCCTTGTTGACGTACTGGCATGGTTGACGCCGGCGATTACCCAAGATGCTTGGTTTATAGGGGGATATCACACCGAACTGGTTTCCTCGCTGAGGACGTGGTAAGGCGCCCGGTTCCCCATGAACGAATGGGTCCTCCCTCACGAAGAATCCTCACGCACGATTGTATCCACGACAGCGTTGGTCGCCAGGATTTTCCTCGGGGAAGGCTCCATTGCGCTTGATCCTTACTTTGTGACGTGCTCGATGGACCGTCTGTTTGTAAAATGCAGTGGCTGTGATCACTTGAAAAGGTGCCGAGCCTTTGAATTCCTATATTTATTTGACTTGATACGTATCAGTTCCCTGAGGCAGCAGATTGCCTACAGTCCGAGACAAAACTATAGACGCACCCTAAAATTTTGGAGTTTCTCAAACAAAAATTTCCTTTTATCCGAAATGATCTATGCCAACATCCTTGAAAATGTAATTCTAGGAACCCCACAAAAGGATTTCATTCATTTGTGTGTGGATCACGAGAAAATTTCGAAATTTCAAATTTCTGGGTGAGTCATAACTATAGGCGCACTTTGTAAATTGACTTATTTATCGATGCATTGTCCACGGTGAAGAATAACTTGGGCCATTCTCGTTGGCATTCCCTCAACCAAATGAGATAGGTAGCTTTGCTCAATTTCCCGCCACGATTGCAGGATTTGAGCCTTCAATTGAGCCTTGATGTCGAATTGACGACCATTCACATAGACTTTCCGAGCTAGGACCCCTCAAACGTTCTCGATAGGATTCAAATCAGGGCTCTTTGCAGGCCAAGGCATGGTAGCCCATGGCATTGCCTCTAACCACGCCATCGTTGAGCGAGAACGATGGATAATAGCGTTATCCTGCTGAAAAATGGGTTGAGCACTTGAGGTCAACTCGCTCAACTCCCGCATCGCTGGCAAAAGGTATGCCTCCAGGGTTGCTTGGTACCGCGCCGAGTCTTGTCGTCATTCGAGGAATGCGAGTTCAGTCTTGTTGTAGAAGCTCATTCCGCCCCACACCATAACTGAGCCCCCACCCGCGATACGCTTGGAGTAGGTTTCAACATCTTGACGCAGGTCATGCCAGTAATACTGACAGCCGTCGGGGCCATCAAGATTGAACTTCTTCTCGTCAGAGAACATCGTGGTCTTCATTTCAGCAAGCTTGTTAAAGTAACTGGAGGCAAATTCGACCCGGTCCTTCTTCTGCTTGGATGTGAGGCGCGGGCCTGAGCGGTGTTTTATGTACTTAGCGAATTTGGACAATTTAAGCACACGAATTACAGTGCGTTGAGTTACTTTACCGCTTATGGTTACTGAGATCTGCCTAGACGGCATTCCTTTGTGTATGGCGAGTCGGAAAATTCGTGGAACGTCTCGTCGCGTCAGTTTCGTGCGCCGTCCAGGTCTCTTGGGATTTGGGGATTGCTTGAGCTTCGTAACATACGTCCGGACTAGATTATCGCTGCGTCCCAACGCATTGGTGATCCAACGGAGCGATTTGTTAACCTCCAAATATGCGTGTACTTGGCATTTTTCATGGTCGGTGATCGTTTTTCCTGGAGGCATCGTCCGATTCTTGGTTACAGTCACCGAGGGAGTGGTTCGCCTATCGAACTTGCTCAACGTGCAACTATTATTTTATCCAATAATATCGTACCAAAAGTTTAACGACTTGTGATTGGATAATGAAAATATTTTCCCACTGGCGCGAGTTGATTTAAATATGTGCCACACTTTTCATTCACGAATTGATGAGCTCCTTGTCAACCCTTCGGACTAAAAAGCGCGGCTACGCTATATCAGTCAAACTCGATGCACTTGCTATGATGGCAAGTATGTCGGACTACAAGGTATCCGAAAACCTTAGCATACCCGCGCGCACCATACGTTCTTGGTTTGACCAGCGCGATGAAATCACCGCCTTCCAAGGGAACAAGAAGCGAATGAAAGTCAGCCCTGGTGGGCGCCGCGAGATGTTCCCTGACCCCGAGGGATTGGTCGACTTTATCGTCGAAATGCGAGTTCGTGAACGAGCATTGACAACAACTCACATTATCAACTGGATTAAGCGCTACCAGAGTCAGTGGCTTCGGCTCTATCTTATTGACAAGCAAGCTGGCACTGGCTACCAAAGCCTGCTCCGTCTCCTTCAGCAGTTCTGCCGCCGCCATGGTTACAGTCGCCAACGCGCCGGCCACCGCAAGAAGTCGCACGCTGCACTAGCTGACGTCCGCGACGAGTTTGCCGAGGAGTTCCATCGCTTGTCCAGCGCCTTCCACGATGACAGCGTCTACAATGTCGATGAAACTGGGTTCTATTACGACATGCCTCCCAAATACATCTGGTCGATCCGCGGAGGTGATGCCAAGGTGTCCTCAGGGGAGAAGCACTCCCTCCGGATGACTGTGGCCCTTACCGTGTGTGCCGATGGATCCAAGTTGCCGCTTCTCTTTGTCGTGCGGGGACTTCCAGGTGGCCGCATCGAGACGCACGAGCTTCCGACTTACCCTGCTGGCCACGTATACGCTGTTCAGCAAAAGGCCTGGATGTACAACAATGTGTGGAGACTGTACCTGCGCACCTTGCTGCTGCCTTGTGTTGAGGCGCCGTCTGTCATCTTGGTCGACAACTTCGAGTCTCACGTGAGTGATGAGTCCTACAGTATCCTTGAAGATGAGCTCAGCTGTCTGTTGGTTCCATTACCTCCAAACGCCACGTCCACGTGCCAGCCATTGGACGTAGGGGTCATGGCGCCGTTCAAACGCTTCCTGCGTGACGAGTGGTTGGCCGAGGAAATCATCGATGGTGAGGATGGAGACGAGTTTGACTCACCTTGTGCTGCGCAAAAGCGTCTCGCAATGATCAACAGGGCGATCCGGGCGTGGGAGAAAGTCAGTGAAGACGTCATCCGCGAGAGCTTTGCCAAAGCGATTCCAAGTGCTTAAACGACAGTCACTCTTTGTCATTCTTTTTAATTGTGAAATTGATATAGGTTTGAAAAGGATTCTATTGGAATTTGTACATATTTTTATAAAATATCTATATTTAAATAAAGGTGGAAAAAGTTCGACACTGACCGGGGCTGGAACCCCGGTCCCCTTCCTCAATCTACTTGGATGCCGTCGCACTAACCATTACGCCAACCGCGTCAAACGCTTATCTTTAACCTCGTTCTTTGGTATCCATCGTAATATATTCTTAAGTTTTCAAGAATTTATGCCCATCTTACAGTTAACCAAATGCAGAAATTCTTTCACACCTTCCAGTGGAGTGCTCTCGTTTTTCATAACCTGTCAAAACAACAAATTTTTATTTGAGCTGCGAATAAAAATACACACCAGTCACTTTCATTGGCTGTAAACTTTGTCGTACTTCGAAGTATGGCGGCCAATCATTCACAAGCATGAGCAGAAAACTCGAAGTACCACACAGGCGAACCCCTCGGTGACTGTATGTGTGGTGAAGTCATTGGTGTGTCCCACAAGTGTTCGTAAGCATTTTGATTACATTAAAGATCTTTGATTGGCTTAAAAAGAATCCGTAAATGTCGAATCATATACTCGGAGTAGTGCGTCTATAGCTATGACTCACCCAAAAATTTGAAATTTGAAATTTGAATATTTCTCGTGATCGAAACACAAATGAAAGAAATCCTTTTATGGAGTTCCTAACTGTAAAATTACATTTTCAAGGATGTTGGCATTGATCGTTTCGGATAAAAAGAATATTTTTATATGAGAAACTCCAAAATTTTGGGGTGCGTCTATTGTTTTGTCTCCGACTGTATTTACTGTTATTAGTACCTCAAAACATTATATTTTCTTAATGGGTGTACATGTATTAATACCACTTAATCCTCTTGACATTGTGATCTGTTTACTGTTAACATACAGAAGTACTGTACCAGCAACAACTCCAGGCACGACGAAATCATTTCAGTACAGTTCAACATGTTTTGGAAGGGACGTTTGGCATTGATCTAGTGCGTCAGAGTATCGTCTCTCAGGGAAATCCCCTGTTTGGTGGACTACAATGTCGTGGCGGGATTCCAATGTTGCGACTGGAGTGACGTCAATCACTTCGAAGTACTGTCACTGTAAAGTACTGTACCGTAATAGTACGTGTCACGTTGCTCTTTACGTTAACCACACAAAATGTACTGTAATACTACTACAGTACGTACGTAGTACTGTACAGTATATACTGTATTGCAGTACACCAACTTCAACGTCAACCATATGTCACCACGTAGGAAGGAGATGAACAACAAAAGGTTACTTACTGTACCCGTAGTCAAGGATTACGTTGACGAAGAAACAACAGCCCCACCTACCCCCGCACAATTCACCTTGCATGTCGCCTCTTGGTCACTTGTCTACGGGAGATACGAGTCAAATGCAGTGCGAGAAGCACCCGCACACTTGAGGCTCTCGACGACTTAACGCCAGCTTGACATCACAAATAATAGCACAAACAAGGGCAGTTTGCACCTCCCAAAGTTGCCACTAAACGTAATTGCTGTACAGTATGTACGTTCTATACGCATTCCTTGTTCGCTAATGGGAAATTTCCTCACATTCTGATCAGTAGCGACGAGCATCAATCTGTACTGTCCTAGTAGTACACTGGGTACTCTGCGTACTGTACTACTACGTACTAATAGAGTACCCGTATGAGTATAGCAGTGTCCATAATATGTCGGTGTTCAAACGCATTTCGTCGCGAAACTGAGAGCGGAACTCGTCGGGAGATCGATCGTACGCATTTCGCTTTTCCTCCGTGTCTGCTGCCAGGGTGTAAGTTAATTTTGATGATTGCACAGTCATGTCCTAGCCTACGTTACGTATCCATCCTGGATATCTTGCCTGGTTGAGCTCATGCTGCGGGTTGTATACTTGGAGAACCAAGGCATGTACAGACTGGGTGGGTCATTTGGGCTTGGTAGTCAGAGTCGCATGAGGGCAGAGCCAATCAGAATCGTTCATGACCTTGCAGTGCAAATTACATCCAGCATCAAGTTGGCGTTGACGCAAGAAAGCGCGGCGACGACGACGACTCTACTTGGCAGCCTCAAGCGCTATTTCTTCTCCATGTGTGCCAGCCTCGGCAACGTCTCCCACGCACTCGTCGCTGCCACGCTCCTTCCTTGCGTGGTGATCCACACCGTGTTCTCGTGCGACAATGTGTCCACATCGTCGCATGTAGCCGACGACGAAGCGACGCCGTCTCCTCCCGACACATGCGACCTGCTACCACTCAAAGAGGTAAAAAATGCAGGTCACAACGTGTTTTGTCTCGTGCTGATGCCGATATCGTGTAGCTACCGTTGCCACCATTTGCGACACCGCTGTCGCGGCCTTGCTTTGACCAAGTGGCCGCGTTGGGGGCTGGTCCATTTGGCACAGTCAAGCTGGTGCGGCACAAGGTCAGCGGACAGCAGTTTGCGCTGAAAATCATCGACAAAGCGTCCATCCCGACCATCAAACTGGCCCGCCAAGTCGTTCGCGAGCGCGATATCGTCATGTCCGTCCAGCATCCGCTTGTGGCAACGTGCTTTGGGTCGTTCCAAGACGACCGACACGTATACTTGGTGTCGGAATACTTGCCCGGCGGCGACTTGTACCAACATCTCTTCGACGGCGCCGCTCCCCGCGCGTTGGACGTCGCCGCCATTCGGTTCTACGCTGCCAACATGGTCAAAGCAGTGCAAGGACTCCACGATCAGGGCATCGTGTACCGCGACTTGAAAATGGAAAACACGATGGTGGACGCCACGGGGTACATCAAGCTCATCGACATGGGATTTGCCAAAGCCGTCGACAACAACGGCCGCACCTTGACCATGTGCGGCACCCCCGAGTACATGGTATGTCGTCTAATATGTTGTATGGCTTATGGCTCGCTCGTATATGCAACTACTGTGTGTCCTTCTGACACATGGACCCGTCCAGGCGCCGGAAATCTTGTCTGGGCAGGGCTATGGCAAGTCTGTCGACTATTGTACGTGATCGTAACACATCTAGTAGCTACTATCTAGTTAGAAAACATCGTCACATATCCTGTGTCTGCAGGGGCGTTGGGGGTCGTATTGTACGAGATGGCCATGGATGGCGACAGTTTGTTTTACCACGACAGCCACGCCCGGATGATGGCGCGCATCAAGGCGGTCGCGACGGTCGGGCTCCCGACAGCCCCCGCCTTTGACTTGTTGGACCCGACGCTCCAGAGTTTCATCAAGGGATTGCTGGCGTTCGACCCAACCGGACGACTTGGCTGCACTGCCGCCGGCTTTTCGGCGATTGAGGACCACCCGTTCTTCCACGGGTACATCGACTGGGCGGCGCTCATAGCCAAGGAAGTGCCGGCGCCGTTCGTTCCAGACGCACCTACCGACAGGTGGTGGCACGCGCTCGATGAATTTGACGACGATGATCCGATTCAAAGCGACGACTTTGACCCCAAGATTGCCCTGGTGTTTGAAGGTTTTTGATGTGTGGTGGTAGTTGTTTAACTTGAGTTTTATTTATTTCTACTTGGTCGTTCGTACATCATAATGATGGACATTCACATATATTTACTGACTGTATCACAGATGAATTGGCCGTCGAGATGTGGGCAATAGCACGACGGCAAATTCATCGCGCAGCGCATTCTTCTTGGCTTGCTTTATTGCGTTCAAGCGAGCACACGCTGCTTGCACGTCGGCATCAGTTCTTGGCGGATGCAACGTCGCTGGAAAGAGTTCGTGGACCAGTTTAGATTGCATCGATTCCTACAACCATCGGTTGGTCATATATAGCCATTCAACTCACGCCAGTCACAACTACAGCAGGACGCAAGTATACAGTACATATGTACACACCAACGTTGACCGGATGTGCGCTGCATGACTCGACCACTCCGAGCGCAGCGCAGGACACACCATGGCCGACCTGCTACCAGATAAGTACTAGCTACTCAAATAACGCTAGTACGTGAGCAAGTGTACGCGGGGCTCGATGGCGCTTCCAGCGTGGTCGCCTTCTTCGCTCAACGGTCTAAAGCAATTATATTTCAGTGATGCAAAGACGAGTAAACTGCAGTACAAGTCGTTCGCGTCCAAGTAGCGTTCCCACAACTCCCACAGCAAGGTCGTGCATTGAGTTGGCCTTGTCTACCCAAGACCACAATGAGATTCGGTCAGTTGGCAAACCCAAACAAATTACCGCTAGCAATCAGTTCCTATGGATACACGGACATAACTACAATGCTGCTGTCCTACCAGCGATTGCGATTGGGTGGTTGTCGTTGTTGTTGTTGAGCTGAGAAGAAAGCAGTTGTCGTGGGCGTCGCATCGAGTGGAAAAACCCAATCCAAACGCCGTCAAGAGGGTATCCAGGTCCCCATGAACGAGTTTGCACTGCCACATGGCGGCGATTGCGTCTGGCGTCGGGATTTGTGCAGGCGTCGCGCGGGCATCGATGCCGTGGGTGTCACAGAGCTCGATGAACGCGCTTAGCTTTCCATCGCAATTGGCGTCGTGTTCCCAATGACGCTGGAAGACTTGATAGGGCGACTCGCGGGGAAGGAGGCGGGCGTGGGACGGTTGCAGGGACGGCGGTGGTGTCGATGGCAGGCGGAGATGTTGCCGCAAGCTAGACACGACATTTTTCAAGCGGGTCAGCTGGTCATCTCGAGAAAGCGCTTGATCCATCCATACGCGAAATCGTATCGAGCCGAGTTCAAACACTGTGTGCACGGGCATGGCCGGCTGCGACGACGCAACTACTGGCGGCCGAGTGATGTGGGCATGGTCCACCCAGTACAAAGTGTCCTGAATGCGCATGTACAGACTCGCCGTTGTCGGGTTCACCATGACCCCATTCGCGTCACGCTTGGTGCTTGAGGACGAGGTGTGCCGGAGGAAAAACGCGCAATCAAACTGCGTCTGGTCCCCGTGAGTTGGCGCGAACGAGCAGAACGAATGGTCGTTGACGAGGAACATGCCGTGCATCGTTTCCAGCTGCTCCATGGCCTCATGCTTCCCTGTCGGCAGGTTGTTGTCGACTGCGAGCCATGGCTGGGACACCAAAAACGTTTCCAATTCCATCGTTTGGATGTTGAGTTGGTTGACTGAATCATCATTCCGATGTCGAGCGAATTGAATATCATTATAATACAATTGTCTCTCTTGTCGTTTGTATATTGGTCTCCATCGAAACGTTACTCCAGAGTATTTAATTTTTCAGTCAGAACCTCCACCATAACCATCATGGTATGCCGTCGCCCGCGTCCATTGTTCATTCCTATGTAGCTATGCTTCAACGTTATGATGGTGCGTAGTCGTTGTCCAACAAACAAGCGACACTGGTCAAGGAACTCGTGGACTTTACAAGCTGTACGCGAGAGAGAGCTGCCGCCTTGCTCAAGAAGCACCACTGGAGCGTCTCCGCCGCCGCAGACGCCTTCTTTGACGATGCCGCGAACGAGTACGTTGTTGTTTGATGAGCGTCTGCTGACTCCATGACCTTAGGGCGAGTGCACTTGCTGTCGACATCAATGCCATCAACTCATGGTTTGACAAGTATGCTGGTACGCGACTTGAATCCCGACCAACTTATCCCCTCAAATTCCTCAACCGCCTTGTATGCATCGCGTAGACCCTGACGAACCGGACAGTATCTTGGACGAAGGCATCATGACTTTCTGCGACGACATTGGCATCGATGCCCAGGACCTTGTGGTGTTGGTGATTGCGTGGAAGATGAAGGCAGCGGTCATGTGCTGCTTTACACGGTCGGAGTTCGTGCACGGCATGCAGGAATTGGGGTACGCCCACCATCTGCCCGCTCATACTTGAGATCCGTCTCATGCTTCCTTCGTAGCTGCGACAGCGCACCTGCATTGCAAGCCAAAATCCCCGAAGTGCGGGGGTACATTGCAGCGCCGTCGGCGTTCAAGCCATTCTACTTGTTTTGCTTTGGCTACTCCAAGGAACCGGGCCAGAAGAGCCTCGGCAAGGACGTGGCGATGGCCATGTGGGAACTCGTACTGCTGCCCAAGTTCCCCAAGGTGGCCGACTGGTGCGCGTTTCTACAGGAGCATCCGAGCCAGGGCGTGACCCGCGACACGTGGGACCTCTTTTACGACTTTATGGTCAAAGTTGATGGTTCGTATGACGCCTATGACGAGAACGAGGCGTGGCCTGTGCTCATTGACGACTACATGACGTACGTCCAAGACGACAACAGCAAACAAGCCAGTCGCCATTAATATACACAACCCGGTGGCACCACGTTTCAACACGTTTGTGGGGTGTCTGCAAGGAAATGAACAAAGCGGGGAACTGGCTAGATGGTGCAATATCGGTTCGTGTTGCAGCCTCAAGCAAACAATCCGTGACACCGCGTGGACGTGACAACACTGTCGATGTGTTTAGTAAGACCAGTGTGTGTGCGTGCATGAAGCACCGTTGGTTGTATAGACTGCAAAACCATGTCACAGAGCAATGACCTAACGACACTTTGCAAACTAGCTTCTTCAATATGGGGCTACGTGCAACGCTGGTTGGCCTGGAGTTGCAGACACTTGGTAGTCCCCACCTGGCACGGCGCGGCTTCGTTGTTGGTTGTTGGGTTGGTGGTGGTGATGATGCACCCCCCATGCTGTCTTTGCAAACTGCATGTACATAGCAATGCCAAAGAATACCACGGTGGCTGCCAAGTACGCCCACCACGCAGGACTAATTGAGTACACGAAGCTTCCGTCGGCCACCTGAACACGCAATGACTCCAAATCGCTGCCAGACGGGTACTTGCCTGCAAAGTACCCCACGCCCCACACCGCCGCGGTCGCCCCGAAGAAACTGGTGGCGACGATGAGGAACGGGCGCTCCAGACATCGAGCCAAGAAGCCACCGAGGATGCCCAACGCGACGATGAGAATGTACAGCATGCCGCTCGGATTCGACGGCCACAGCTTGTACCCGACGGTGTTGTTGACGAGGAATGCGAGCACAATGCCTGCGGCGGCACCGACCATAAACACACCAAGCTTCCACACACACATGACCGTGGCGCCGACGATGAGACCCCCCACGACAAAGCAGATCCACGCCGCAGTGACCATGTACGTTTGATTGGCAAACACCTTTTCGGCCAGCAAGTAGAACAGCACAGACCCGACTGCAAACCCGCACACAAACAGCACCGGGCGAAACAGTTTGTAGCCAAAGAGCGCCACGATTGTGCCGACGCCGATGGACAGCCCCGCCACGACGCTTGGCGCGACGCTGAGCTTTGACCCAGTGGCCAGGAGGTCGTTGGTGACACGGTCGAAGTCGCTGCTTCCGTCCGTCAAGTTGGGCAACGTCAGCGGCACAGCGGTGGCCACAAAGGACGTGGCAACAAGGGCCACCAGAACAACAGATGTCGCTAGGGACACCTCTAGACGCAGCATGGCTGTCGTCATGCTCACTTACTTGGTTGTCCACGTCGCAATTCTTTTCCAGAAATTGAATGTCCGTGGACCGTTGGGATCGGATTGGATATGACTCGGCCAATCAAAATGCCGGACAAGATACGTTCCTAGCTTCCAAGCGTCATTATTATTCCGAAGGTGCAAGTGTGCCGAGTTGCTCCTGTCAAGCAGTGGCCAAGCAAAGATATGGCACATTGCGCAAATTGTAACTGCGCCAACGCCCGGACGACATGACGCCACGTGAAGAAGCGTATACACTGGCTCTTGCAGCACTGACTTGTACAGGCATACACATCGCATACGTCGGAAAAGTCCATCGGATATGCTCAATCCACAAGTTGCACGTTGATAATTGGTGGATTGCCCTGAAAATTGTCTACTACATACGGTACGGTAGTACAATTTAGGGCACTTATGGATTCAAAAAGGATGCCTCAAACAGGAATTATGGCCATACTCCGAAAAACAAAAAAAGTTGTATTACAATACTCCGAGAGTATTGTGTTTTCGAGTGTTGTGGGGTGGTTTCTCGTTGGAATTTAAATCGATTTGATTGGCTACACTGTCAGATGAGCTCAAAATTATTAGCCATTCAAAACCTTCTCAATGAAATTCAACCAATCAGATCGATTGTGGATCGGTTTGGTCGATTGCACCCCCTCAAACCCCCAGAAATCGACAATATATACAACGTAGTATTACATAGCTAAATCCAGTCTCCAAGTCGTCATGGTGCAGCTTTTACTGCTATATTTCGACACCACACATAGCACTTGCGTCAGTGTGCACTTGACATTTTATTGCTTAAACATGGGAAATGGGCTGGCCGCGCTGCGGCGTCGCGTAGTCGGCGGGGGCGGCGTTGGCGTGTTTGGCCTTGGGGTTCTGGTGAAACACACCCAGGGCGGATTTGTTGAACTGGAAGAACACGGCCAAGATGAAGAACACGATCGTTCCGGCGAGGTAATACCACCACTCCTTGGGCAAGTCGTACGAAAACGAGCCGTTGGCAGCTTCGCTGCGCCACACGTCTAGCTCGCGACTGTTTGGGAAGTTGCCGGCAAAGTACCCGACGCCCCACACGGCGGCCGCGGCGCCAAAGAAGCTGGTGGCCACGATGAGCGCAGGTCGTTCAAACCACGAACCCAGGAAGCCGCCAATGAGACCGAGGACAATCACGCAAATCCACAAACTCGTCTCGGGGCTCGAAGGGTAGATGAGGTAGCCAAAGGACGTGTTGACGTGGAAGCCGAGCAGAGCTCCGGCCGCGGCACCGACGAGAAAGACTCCCCATGCCCAGATGCTCATCACGGTCGCGCCCACGATCAGTCCCAGCACGACAAACATGATCCACGCCGCCGTTTGAAAGTACGTTTCCTCGTTGAAGAAACGTTCCGCCAACATGTATCCTAGAATCGAGCCCACGGCAAACCCGCTCAAGAACATGACTGGACGGAACAGCTTGTATCCCCACAACGCCACGAACACCCCGCCAACGATTGCCGCCGACGCGATGAGCCCTGGGCCAAATGTGATGCCTTGGGCAGATGCAAACAAGTCGTTCGCGGTCTGTGTCAACGTAGCCGTCGTGGCGGGAGTTGGAGTCACAGCAGCAATGCACTGCAGGAGGACGGCAAAGATGAGCGCCGAGAAGGCAGCAGAAGATGTAACACGGCCCATTTCCAGGTGACGGAAATGTAGAATGCGTAATGTGCGTTTGCAGAATCGCAAACCTGTCACAATTGATATATGATGACCCAGAAGGTCGCGACAATTCGAACAGTAACAATAACACAACGCGTTTTTCTTGGCAATTTTGAAGCACCCAAATTTCTATCCGTCTGACAATTTGCTAATCTTATTGGCACACCTGCAACCCCTCGTCTGCTCTGGTGGTTTCGTTGCAACAGTCAAGTTCACTTTACTACAATGTGCGTCACCTAAGCCTGTATAAAGTCCAAAACCGCCCCGAACAAATCTTCAGAGGAGTGAAATAGCTCTATACCTTGGTACCGGTACGAGTAAATCGATATAGTTTACAGCTGTAGAGCAATGCCTTCCGAAACCTACACTTACTTTGAGAAATTTCGCATATGTGACATGTTTCGTTTAATAATTCCAAGTAAGCTTAGTACTGTACTAGGATTAATAGTACTGTACTCCTTCGCAAGATGTACTGTAGAGGCCAAAAACAGCCTCAACAAATCGGATGGAGTAACGTTACTACGTACTACCGGTAGTGTAGTACTTCGAGTACTGTACTATACGTACTAGTTAGTACTAGTCTCGGGTACTGTACGGGTAAAAAGGTTTTGGAAGGAATCGTTAAGAACGATTCCTTCCAAAACGTACATACATTCAACATGATTGCAACCTCCAACACCTTATAATTTCCTGAATTTTGCAGAAATTACGGACGTGCGTGGAACTCTGTTGACAACTACTACGTACAACGAGTAGTAGTAGGTAGTATTAACACTGTATTAACGCTAAGTAACTTACTATTAATACTCCGGAGTACAGTACTATTATCAGGGGAAGTTTCCAAGTAGTTACTTCTATAACTTTACGTGTTGAATGTTAAATCCCGTCGACTTCCAGCGAATTCTCTTCCGTGTGTGGGACAGCATCGACGACATGCAAGCATATCTAAATGTTAACTATTCGAAAGGTTCGCTTTCTTCCGAGTAAAAAGTCACACTATTGAGCCATGCGCTTTTGTACTCGTTCCTACCATTATATAATCCCCTTTGGCTGAAAATTATGCTCTAGAGAACCAACCCAACGATATACCGGTATATATACCGTATATGGCTCTCCACAGAGTGTATAAAGTCCTGTTGATTTCGTCATAACAAGCACGGTATGACGCACGTCATCTAAAAACTTCCAACTGGCCAAATCGAAGAGTGGAGGTTTTATTACTTAAGGTACAATTAATGTAGTTAAAACCAAAACACGTTAAATACAGATTTCATGCGTTTTATCACTGCGGTGGGAGGTTAAAGGTCCCAACTGCCTCCGGATATCAAATACGGATAAGAGCCACATACAAAAATCAAGATACACCAAATATCCATGCCCATGTAAAATACCACTAGGTTAAATATCTATTTCTGGACCAATTCATCACCAAATTTGAATCTGAGACGTAGAATTTCTTCACCACATTGAGATCTGTCGATTCTACGTCTCAATTTGCTGAAATTTTGAATGAATATGACATAGAAGTCAGAAAGTTTTGTGAAAAGTTGGTAGTTTATAGATGACGTGCACCATACATTACTCAAGAGTAAAAACGAACTAGTATTTGTCACTCAATTTCCTTAGCAAACTACACACAGTAACGAGGCATCATTGTTGGGTATCCCATGCTGTTGTACCGGCAACGAATACCGCCGCCTTCACTATCCTTTCAATCATGTGATCAATGCACGTGTTTGGAAATGATGCTGGGCGCCACGAGGGTTTCCGTGATGGGTTCATTGGCTAGAAGCTGCAGCGCGTGGAACGTCTGCGGCTCCTTGTTGAACATCACGCCCAATCGACGCCGAAATGCCACCAGCACTTGGCCAAACTCCATGTATCCCTACTCACACATACACATATATATATATATCACCATCACCAGTATCGTCAAAAACTAAATATATATATATTTCAACAACGCACGCACCGCGCCCATCTCGACAAACAACCGGTCCAGGATTGGAAAGACGAGGCAAAACAGATCTTCAAACACAGAGTTGATCGAGTCGCCGCTCAATTCGTCCCAGGATTCGTACTGGCCAATGTGGCCGTACATGGACTTGCGCATGAGCATGCTGTCGCCGTGCTTGTCCACTTCGTTGGCCACGAGCACCACAAATGTCTTGGGCGCGAGCACACTGCACCCGTCCGTGTGAGACCCGGCGTCGCCCAGCCCCAGCATCTCCACGAGCGTCGCCACCACGTTGATGCATGCGATGGCAAATGGATAGTTCTTGAGGTTGCCGTCGCTCACGCCAAAACGAATACGATTCATCGTGGCGTTCGTGACCTTGGGGTGGTGCTTGATAAAGTAGATCAAGCAGTGCAGCCCCAAGAGTCCGCTGGAGCGCAAGTCGGACGCTGGCCCGCCCCTATAACGACTCTGTTAAGTTCTTTAGCACATATACCTCTAGAGCAATCCCCCTACATCCCCCCTACACTCTAGGGGCAATATATCTCCCCCTACACGCTGGCGTTTTCTGTCAAGTCTAGGCTACTACTAGTACTACTAGTACAACATTCTATCGCTCGTATACTACGTACCGCTGAAACCCAATCTCTTGCCACCGCACGTCCGTGTTGGATACATATGGCTCCTCTGGAAACACGAGTCGCCACAGCTGGCGCAGCATCACGTCAATCAGCTTGTGGTCTTCCGGGGGGCCGTGGCTCTCGGCCTGGACTTTGGCTTTGAGCAGTTTGCGCAGCTTGAGCACCGTGCGCAGCGTCGTGCGTCGGATCTTGTCGCGCTTGTCCATCTCGGCGTCGATGATTTCCTTTGGCAGCACACTCGCGGCAACCAGCGCGTTGTACCAGGACTTGGCTTCCGCGGTGGAATCGGCCACGAGCACATGCCGCCCGAGGGTGATCATGCATCGATCTGCGTCTAGCGTCAGGGGGGCCAACCCTCGCAGCGGCAGCACAAACCACGGACGTACGTACGGCCCTACAAAAGCACACACACACCCCATCAATGATCACATATCCGTTGCCAACGAGTATACCCCCCTTCCCCCCCTTTCCCCCACCTATGAGCTCCACTATATGATTTCAAAGACACAACCAACCAGCTTCGGGGAAGAAGGCCAAGAACGCTTCGTGCAGTTTGACGTGGAATCGGCCTTTGATGGTTGCGTTGTGCGAGCCGTTCTTGCGGTCCAACGTGCCTGTTTTGAGCGTAAGTTGGGCAAAGCGTTTACCCAATTCGTCGGGGGAGACTCCGCCCCCCGGCGCTCCCCCCGCCGTGCGAAGGTCTAGAATGTGTTGCAACAGCCCGCACAAGTCATCCCTTGCGCTTTCCGTCTCCAAGTAGCACGGCCACGACCGATGCGCGTCCCAGAGAAGCTCGACGCCGTATCCCCAGCCTTTTTCCAATTCTGGCGGCAGCAAATTGACCTGGCGGAGCTGCGAAAACGTGAGCGTCGTCAACGACTCGCCGCGCTTGGTGTTGATCACGACGCTTTCGGCAAAGTTGAGCTCGAGCACGCGCGTCTGGACGTGGTTGCGGCCGCTGCTCTTTCGGACGCCGTAGTGAACGAGGAAGCCGTGGATGCCCGCCTTGTCCCAGAACGATCGCATTTCGCTCAATTCTACAGTTGCCAGATCACGAATCAAGTAGCCAATCAAATCATCCACTCTTTGACCAAAATGCAACCTTGAATTCGTGTGATTCTGGACGATGTGTACATACAAAAGTCAAACACATTGATCGATAGATTTGGCAAAGAATCAAAAGTCAGCCAAACAATATTGGGGTAAAACGACCATACAACAACAAACAAATCGATCGATGATAGATTTGGAGAGTCGGCGGGCAAAAGCCCAATGAGTTTGGGGTAAATGGACAAGAAGAATACAAGCAGACAGAGGCTACCGTCAAATGCCAGCGTTTGGCAGTCATAGATCGCGCCCTTGATCGCCGCCATCCACGCATTCATCTCGACGCCAGACATGGCTTGGATAAAGTACTCGCGCTGCGCCACATCCACCGACGTCGACAGTTTGAACTCGAATTCGCGATCCTTCTTCGTTGGCACGACCGCGCATTGCGTGCTGGCCGACAACTTGATCGTTTTCAAGCTCGACGCTTTGCCAGACTTGGTCGGGGATGCTTTCTATACAACATGCAACGGTATGACGTGGCACGCTCGTGGGAAAGGGGGTCCAAGTGTACATGTTGGTCTTTGCCGTAGGTCAGGGTTGGGCCGTCGGCACTACGCATGTCGGGTTAATGTTGTTGATTGTTTGAGTCGTTCCTGCTGTAGGGTAGTACCTGTGTTCCAATGTGAACCACCGCTTCCGCCACGCCGGCACGACGCCGCCTCGCTTCATGAGCCAGCCTTGCCGTAAGATGGTGCCGCCACTTGGTGACGCCACCGCGGATGGCTTCGTACCGCTGCTGGTGCTGTGGACAGATAAACTCGTTGCCAACGACGAGAAGAAATGGCCGCGGCCCAAATTATGCTCGAAACTCTGGATGTGTTCGCGAGCAAACTCGACGGCGCTGGTGCTGGCGCGTCGGTCCTTTCGTTCGCCGCGGCCGCTGCCCTCTCGTGTCGCCACCGCCGGGAGCTTCGTACTCGACCCTGTCTCCTCGCTTCGTCGGCGTCCGCCCACGACAACAGGCAGAGGACTGGCGGCGTTGCTCCCAGGGGAGCATTCTTCCGACAACCCCGACGTCTCGTCCACGTCGCGTGGTGGAATCTCGATTCCAAGGTCAGGGTTCCTGCTGCTACTGCCTCTACTCGGATGAGAATTCGTCGTCGTTATAGGAGGAGGTGGTGGCGGCAGGGGGGCTGCGTCGAAGTCCCCAGTGGAACTGCTGCTGCTGCTCTCAATCACAGACAATTCCTAGTCGCTAGCATCAGCCACGTCGTCGTTGTGGTCAGTTTCATACCGATAGCGTGGTCAGTGCTTGCTCGGCTGCACAGTCTGGTGTTGCCGTGGCTGGAGTATCGTCCACTGCCGTCATCTCCGTCAGCGTCGTCGCCACAGCGTCGTTGATTCCGTCCTCTGTGCTGGGTTGATCTGAATCCATAGTTGTGTAACAGTCGTCGTGATTCTGAAACCCAGATGGGCCATACAAACTTCAGTATGTTTTGAAAGTAATTTAATACAATAACCTCACAAGATATCATGAACTGGGTCCACATCTCGAAACTCACTGCTGACTTGCATGACGTCGCCTCGGGTTCGTCCGCGGCGGCAGATGCCAACCCCATACCTGTCCACTGGGTGCTTGCGACGGTAAGGCTGAGCAGCGGTGGAGGCATCTTCTCACGGTCCTGATGCCATACATGCACGTACATAGCTCCTGGACCTGTTCCGCGAGTACCCGAATGGCGTCACCGATGCCATCGCGCGAACAGAGCTCCTCGTACGGTGGAAACTGCATCGCCAAAGATCATCGTCCAATCAATCGAATAAGACCGCGGGATGGGCGTCGTCGAGCGACACAGCCGTCGTAAGGGCACAGATCACTGAGTTCATCGCAGCCCAGCACATCCTCATCCTACGCGAAGCACCAGCCACCAGCTCCGACATTCCCGAGAACGACTCTCCCAGCGCCTTCACGAAGAACCAGAACATGCACTTGTATTATGTTGTTTTGGCTAGCGGATCGGCTTACATGACGTGTGTGTAGATTTGTGCACCAGCGCTTTCACCGCTACTTGCCATCTTCCTCGTACGTACTTCAGTATGCAATCCGCTTCCATCACCCCTCTCACCAAGTTGTTCATGTGTAGCGCTGGCGTCATGCACCCGTTCAACCCCTCACGTCGTCTGCTGCTCACCGCCTTGCAACCTTTCGAACGGCGGCAACCGCGTGGTACGTCTGCCCTCTCGTCCATGTTCATTTCCACTGGACGGACCTCCATCGTGTAGACTACATGCAATGCCTGCCTACAGAGAACATGATCATTGTCCTCGATCCTTCCCGTGATCCATGGGACCGTTCGCTTGTGGCGGGAACGTCCTGCGTGTCGACATTGTCCGCTCTTCACCGCATCCCCGCCGACCAGTTGCATGTCCAGTTGCTTCGCATGAAAGTACGTACATCCATGGCGTCGCGGTAATTTTTTCATCTTCTCCGCCGCCGTAGGTCGTCGCCGTCGAGCCGACTCGATCGTGCGTCGCGTCTGTGAATGCAAGTCGGCGGCTATCGATTGTGGTTGCAGGGACAGACAAGGAGGATGGCGACAACAACAGCAGAAGCGACGATAGCCACACGTTTTTATTTGTGTTGTGGGACACACAGACCCCCCTCGGCCTCTCCGTGCACCCCGGCGACACGCTCATCATGGACTGTCCGTACCTGAACTTCCGGGACTCGGCCAACATGGAGCACCAAGCAATGTTTGATGAATGCCCGGGGTGTGCTGCCACCCACCTCTTCTTGGAGTACGGCTCGTCCACGATTCTCTTTGTCGTGCCAGCCAAGTCAGTCCTCACGGACGTGGTCACGCAGCCCAACAAGGTGGCGTTCACAGCCCCCGTGGACCCAGTCACAAAGTTTTCCGATCTGTCAGAGTACCCGCTGCCGCTGGACGAGTGGACGGACCTGCCCGTGAACTGCTACAACCTTTCGTTTCTCGGCCAAGTGGCGGATATCCATGTCGCCCGCGCGAGTCCGCTGCGCCAGCAGTTTACCGCAACGTACTTTGGCGCCAAAGGCATGATGATGTCGGCGGATGATGATGACGCATCCAGGACATCGCCGCAGACGGTGTTCACGGTGGTGTTGACGCTTCGGTCGCTGCAGCCGCCGTTCCCGCTGCTATCGATCGAAGTCACGGGACGGGACCAAGTGGCGTGTGCGCTTGCCACGTGTGAGCCTGGCCACCTCGTGTTTGTGCAAAACGTCGTGCTGGTCAAGACTGGCCATACGACCATGGGCCTGTGTGCCAACTGGTCGAGTTTGCACCCGGCGTTCGCCAACGGCAAACTCACTGCGTGGAACCGGCTACTCGGGTACGTGACATCTCCCGACTTTTACGATGTCCAACTGGTCGCCCATCTACACAACCGCGTGCTGCTGCGTGGAATGATGTGGCCACAGCTAGCCGTCGTCCGTGCGAGTTTTGTGGCCAGTGGCTGGCTCGATCCGTCCCCCACGACGCTGATCCACCGCGCGTGCCGCCGCCCCATCGCCCCCAAACGCCATCCAGACGACCCGTGGGCGTGTGACATGTGCAAAGTGTCGTGGAATCAAGGCCAAAGCCATGTAGAGATTGGGTTTAGTCGACTTGCGGTTCAAGTCGACGACGGGTCTGCCAGTATCCGCGCCGTGATGAGCTCGCGGTGGCTGGAGAACCTGCTGGGGTGTACAGCGCTCTCGTTCGACCAGCTGCCTCTGACCGAGCAAGCCAGCCTCGTGGCCTGCAAGTGCTCGACGGGGCACGTGTACGTGTGTGTGCTGTCGTCGTGTCCAAGTGTGGACAACATCGTGTGGCGCATTGACCAAGCGATTCCATTGACCGATCAAGTCACGAATCAAATCCTTCAACTACATAACAGTAGTAATAATTGATTTACACCAGCGTCGTGTATTCGTCCTTGTTTCACAACTCCAAGTCGGCTTCTTCTGTTGTTGAAGTCAACGCGCCTGGACTGGACGTGCATACGCATTGATGGGATGTCGACGTGCTCAATACGACCCACTGCATGACATGGCACGACAAAGGACTGCGATGGACGTGGCAGTGTCGGCTGCACCATCGGCAAATGGGCTGAAGATTGCACTCCACACATCGATAAAACAAGCCAAACGGCGCCAAGTCGGATCGACCTGCATGTTCACACACACATCGACCAGCCATGGCGGCCACGATCATGTCTACAATAAAAAGATTAAAAAAATCAAGTGTTCCGGGGGGGGTCGCCATACCTTTCGACGATGTCGACCCAGAGGAACGTGTTGCTGCATGCGATTCATTGGGGTCGAGGAAAGGAACCATGCGTTGTATGGGGAACTGTCGGAACCGATTCATTGCTGAATGGTCATCTAAAACAAGGGCAAACTCGGTACCTGCGAGCCAGATATGCATCGTATCATGCATGTCCAAGTACCTCGACGAAACAGCACCATGCCGTGGGCGTACCCCACGACCACTTGCAACGCAAACCGACTCGAGATGGCTTCCACGAGCCACGGCACACATGTGAGCCCGCGGTCGGCGCCGAGGCCAGTTTTGCTGTACGAACCATCCCCCCACGTAAACACTTGCCCCGTGACTATGACCCCACGAAACAGTCAACAAAGAAAGCTGACAACCCACGGTTCAGTTCGTAGTTTTGTCCACGATGAACGTGAAAAGCAAATGCAGATCGACGAAGTACTATCTATTCAGTACCTAAAAGAGCAACGGAATACCGGTCCCCTGCAAAGACTTGGGCGACTCGCCGTGACAAGGACGAGTACTCGAATTCTTGGACGCACTGGGGGTTGTCCGAGTGCGAAATGGTCGAGTTGATGCCGAGCTGGCCAAACCGATTGCTGCCACATGCATATACGTACGTCTTGACCCCCACAAGACAGAGCTAGATCCGAGTTATGGACAAATAGACGAATGAAGCTCAAAACGTACAAACAGGGAATGGTCCGAGCCAGCTGACACTCGACTTGGTTGCATGTGTTGGAAGAATAAAACTGGGGTTGGGATGAGCACGTCGCGATCGAGGGGACCGCCGATACCCAAGCAACCCCATAGGTTTTGCCCCCAGCTATACACGCGGGAGCCTACATATATATATTTATATATATTTATGCATGTATGTGCACACCTGAAATCGCGAGCGAATGTGTCGACCCGAGGGCTACATCCGTCACACGCTCCAACCCGTCGACACGACGGGGGGACAACTCGTTTTGCGTTGAATCTGCCATTCATATGACCACATGTCGGATGCCTCAACCTCATTGCCAGCAGAGGGTAACGACGTACTGTGGCCCAGTTGACCATGTCGCCCATAGCCCCACGTGAACAAGTGGCCGTGGCTTGAAATAGCAGCCGCAAAGTGAAAGCCAGCTCGAACCAGGGTTATTCGGACGTGGATCAACGCCACAACCACCTGCGGAACCTACTTGCAAACATCAATGCCATCGAGTCTATAGAACCATAGCGCGACCTTGTAGTCGACTTCGCTGCCATGGCCCAACTGCCCAAACGCCCCACTTCCCCACGAAAAGAGAACCCCACCGTCCGTTCCGTCCCGATCTACCATGCGTGTTACACGCGAGTCAGCACTAACCATCCACGGCTCTAAGGAACAACCATTGGAAGCAGGGCTGCTGTTCTGTTTCTGACCAACATGGTGGGGTGAAATCTTGCCTGGGGCTACGGCCACGGGCTCAACAAAGCGACACAGAGGTTTGGGTCGATGGGTATACCAGATATAGAGTAACAAGCTTTGGTGCCGGTGGCTGTGGTTTGGATACGAGGAAGTCGTTCTATTCGCTGCGGCGTCCACTGGCTGGCTGTAGTTCGATCACTAGACTGGCCGCATTGAAAGACTTGACCTTCGTCTGCAGCATACCATGTCAGTATGTTCATAACATTTCATTAGTGGCTACCATTGACGAAGAGCGAAAGATGTCGCCCAGCCGAGCACTGTTGAATGGACATCCTGCGAAACGCTGTGATGGGTTTGGGGAACTCGCAGTTGGCTGTGTTATTATGTCCAAGACTGCCTTCGACTCCGTATCCCCTGCAAATACAATTGGAGTTACAGTAATCGAAGCTGCCATCAGTACCACGAGTAAATGTCCGTCTCGGCCAGCGAACTCGTCGCGCGAGTTACTGTGGCGGCCACCTTCAGCTCTTGACTTAGCAACGAAATGGGGTCAGGTAACTGCAATGTGCTCGGGAAGGCCTCGATAGGGTGTATCTTGCGTTCGAGGGTGGTCACAGATGCAAGAGCATCGCCCATGGCAATAGTCATACTAGCAATCGAATGCGATCTTTAGCCGACACGTCCGTATAATATCCGGATATTCCCTGCAAGGTATAAATAGCTTTCATGATGATAGCCGCTTGAGTGATATTTGCAGTGATGGGGGTGTCTGTGGTAGCCAAGCGCTTCCTGAACGCGTGGAACTTCATCATCCTAATCCTGGGGTTTGCTCTACTCTTGATTACGCTGTACATCCTGCTATTCCAGAGTGACACGTACGCCATCCCAAAAGTCGGGTATTGGTCGGCTATCGTGTGTTCGGGGCTGCTGATCCTCTTGGCCGCACTTGGACTGTATGGACTGCGCCAACAACGGGTTTGTGTCACCCGCAACAAGCGCAACTACGCCCTCGGCATCGTGAGTAGATTGAGAGCTCCATTTCTCACCCATGTTATGTGAATGATGTCCAAAGATCATTCATTCCCATCTTAACATTAGTACGCTTGACCTGTTTTACCCACAATCTTCTTGTAGTATTGCCTTTGCGGCTTCATAACAGGCGTGGTGCTTGTCATGGCTGGCAGCATGGCACTCAAGTTCAACGTCGTGATCAACGATTCCAAGTCGTTGGCGTTCGTGCAAAAGGCTGAAGTGTTTTTGGAGGAAGCCATCATCGACAACTTGAACGACTTTTCCTCGGCAGAGCCAGCAAAGTGGAAGAAAACGCAAGATAGTTGGTTCTGCTGCGGGTACTTTGACGTTCCCAGCGTTCAAAAGTGCGTTCTAGTATGCGTTTTCTATTGAGATATACTAATTGTCTATCTGTAGCCACATTGGCCTCAAATACATCAACATGGCCAAGAAGATCAACGGGATACAAGGCATCTACTGCTCGAGCAACTGCACCGTCACCACCTCGAATACAACCCAAATCATCACGTCGACGACCTCGAACACCTCGCCAAGCCAACTGGTCTGCCCCCAAGTCGGCGCGTCGTGGTGCCGAGATGTGTTCCTCGACAACGCTGAGACCAACAATGTCTATGTTGGATGGGTAGCGATCGTCGGAGGCTCTTCGCAGGTATGTACGCCAAGCGGTCATTTCGTGTACAATTGTTTGATTAGTACATTAGTTGCTCGGGTTCCTGCTTGGCATGTTCCTCCTCCTCTGCGACGTGCGAATGATGCGACTGGCCACCATGCAGCCCAAAGATATGGAACAAGCCATCAAGAACGCGCAGACGTAGTGAAAACCAATCATCCCCTCCGATGACTGTACCTCCTCTAGTCTTGCCAATTCCAATGTCGACTTGCTAGGAATTACATATATATTATATATACACTCTACATACAAAACTCGTCCTTGTTAAACGTAAACGTTGCAACCGCGGTGGCCACCATCATTTGATACGCCCCTACATATATGGCAACATAAGTGGTCTTGTGAAATATATATAAATATCTATACCACAAGACACAACCCCCATGCGCACGCCTTCCGGCATGTCCACTTTCAAAGGACACGCGTCCATCTTGTTGAGCGGGCCGCCGTTGCCGGCCTCGGGGGAGCCCCACCGATACACCTAAAATGATTATATATTGTCAACTCGAAATTGGAGTGGGGTGCTGCTCCATCGAATGAGCAGCACCAAATCCGGCAGAAATCGATGATCGACCAATCCAAACCCAGAACACGAAAATCAAGTAGCCAATCAAATCCATTCTCGGACCAATGCAACATCGAATTAGTGTGTGAATTAAATTAGTGTGAGACTGGGCGATGTTTACATACAAAAGTCAGCACAAACAATCGATTGATCGATAGATTTGGCAAAGAATGAGCACAAAAGTTCAAATTCGGAGTAAAAGGACTATACCAAACGATCACAATCCAACACACACATCTTTACCTCCCCTGCCGTGGATAGCACGGCCGTCGTGAACGACCCGCAGCTGACTTGGGTTGCCGCGACACTTTGGCCGATGGATATTTTGTGGGGCGTGGTCCGCATTTCACCAAGAGTCACCGCGATGTCGCCGAGTTGACCGGCCAAGGCATCCCCCCACCCGTACACTGTACCATCCAGTAGCACCACCACAGTGTGGTAGGCCCCGCACCCGACGGATTTGGCTTTGAGATGCGGCACCATTTTGGGCACGAGATCGTTCTCCAGGGAGCCGCGACCCATGGCCCCCGACCCCCCAAAGCCCCACGTGAACACGTTTCCGTCTCGATCGATCGCGGCCGAGTGGCATTCACCTGCATCCACCGCCACAAACACCACGTCTGATACGTGCACGGGGGTCGCCACCTCCACGTCGACTTCGGAGCCGACGCCACACCGCCCGCCGTAGCCGGCCCCACACGCCAACACCTGGCCGGACGCACACAAGAGCAGCGTGTGCTCCCGTCCGCAGGCGACCTTGACGACAGGAGGGACGTCCGTCAGTTGGGTCGGCACGAGGCACTTGCCGCTCTCGCCGGTACCCAGCCGTCCCGCCTCGCCCCATCCAAATCCGTACACGCGGTTGTCCGCCGTTACGACCATCGTATGTTCGCGTCCGCATGACACATGCGACACGGGGATGCCTTCAAACAAGTCGACGCGCGTCGGGTGCAGCGCCGCGTTTTCGTCGCCGTGGCCCAGCCGACCGCACTCGCCGTACCCCAACGTAAAGAGCTCGGCGCGGGTAGTGACGACTGCGGCGTGACGGTAGCCGCAGCTGACAAAGTGCACTGTGTTCTTCATGGGCAATGGAAACTGGAGCAGGTTCAGGTCGGTCGATCGCATCGAACAAGACAAAGATGTAAACGCGTGCAGGGCCGGGTCCCGCTGCTGGTTTTGCAACATGTTGCGCTGCTCCACGTCCAAACTCATGCCCATGACATTGCCTTCGACAAACGCGAGTCCGTTGGTCGCCCAGAACGAAGTGCGTTCGAGATCAAAGGGGGGAACGACCTGCAGCTCATGCAGGTCCGACTTGGGCAAATACAGCGTGCGGAGGAGTAGAAAGTGCTCGTCGACCTTTTTGAACCAGTGCTTGGGGTCGAGGAACTTGGCCAAGTCTTGCCACGGCGGCATGCTTTTCACCAAGAGCGTGAGCATGGCGTAAAACTTTACGACCGATACGTTTGGGCCTGTGATGTTCTTTTTGAGCAGTTTGCGCAGCTTGACGAGCACCACCAACGACAACATGTGCGACGACGATTCGATCAGGAGCTGCGAATTGTTGCCCGCGCTACCCCATGTCGTCGTGCATGATGAAAAGTGAGGCACTATAGAGTTAGAGTTGACGTACCGGTACAATAGCCGCAGCCATCGCCACGCGTGAATGTACACAGCAATAAGGGATGGGACATTCGCAGGCACTTCATTTTCCAAGAGGAACATCTCGAGGAACAGCATGACGAGAAATACGCCCACGGGAACCAGCGCATGCGACGGTAGCAGGTCCATCGTGCGCTGGACATCGATCAGAATCGCCAAGACAGATGCCGTGTCCGACAACCTACACACATGAACTCTCGATCATCACGCCATGTCATGATAGATGTATACCGAGCGGACGCCAGCGCCCTTTGCAAGTTGGCCACGACGCTACGCTCGAGGCCATACTCCTCGACGTTGTCGCTTGTGCCCTCCAGCACCCCCGCCACCCGCTCGTCGACTGTCCGAAACAGTTCCAAGTACCCGTCGCCTTTGCTAGCGGTCGGAGTGCGGTTTTGATGGGGGCGCATGGTGCTGGGGCGCGTCGGCATGAGCGTGGTCGCGTACACCTTTTCCAGCTGCAGCAATTGCTGGGTGAATGACGTCAGGTCCGTGTGCTGCAAGTGGGACCACGCCGACATGAGCTTGGACTTGTGGAACGACACGATGTCCTTTACTTCGAGCGGCGGCAACTGCAGCGTGTTGCCGTTGGCCAGAAGTTTCTTGAGCACGCGACTAGTCACAGACAGCCGCAGCGTCCGCAGTAACGCCATGTACAGCGGCGCCGGATTGTGCTTTAGCCGCCCATGGTACACGGCCGCGTCCACTACGCTGTGGGGGACCAGCGATAGCGCTATCATTGAAAGGAATTTTAAAAAATATATAGATATTTTTTGATACGTACAAGCAGAATATGGCCCTAATGTGCACCACAGGGGCAAGTCGACGCCCCAGAATTGACTCGAGTGCGGCGATGCCAACGTCAGCCCGTCCAGAACCGAGTTGAACAAGTCCACGGCGGTGGGCGTCCGTGCTTTGTCTCGATGTTGCACCAAGTGATGTCGTAGCATGTGCTACAACGCAATACATAAGATGATATACATACAGTACAGTATATATAATTAGACATATAAACATAGTATATACATATATATCATATATTAGAAATACTAGTATATCATGTGTATCATAAAAATAGTATATATATCATATATTAGAAATACTAGTATATCATGTGTATCATAAAAATAGTATATATATCATATATTAGAAATACTAGTATATCATGTGTATCATAAATATAGTATATATATCATATATTAGAAAGAAATATCATGTATAACGTGATCGACCATTGATCGGCCAAATGACCATCGATCGGCCAAGGTGTTTCGTCCAATTGAAATTAATACGATGTTTCATTGGACAAAATAAATCCTTGTCATAAATTTTACCTGTATAATATGATGGAGGTAAACAATTTAACGTTGAACAATACTTGCAGCTCTTACTCTGAATACGTATACCTGTTGAAATTTAGTAAACCTTTGAGACATAGTCTTTGAATTTTTGGAGCGAAAAATTGACCCAACTTTTTTCAATACTTAATTCAAGTGTAAATTTTGGCCGATCAATGGTCGACTGTGTAAAGTGCCGAACTTTGACATTTTTTTGGCCTGCCAAGAATTGTTTAAATCGATACATTTGAATATGCCGCGAAAGAGCTTTCCGTCAGCTTTCCGGAAATGTTGGATTCAACGAAATGCCATGAAAACCAATTGAGATATTTTAGTTTGAAAATTTTGAAAATTTGGCTGATCAATGGTCGATCACGTTATCATAAACACAGTATATCTCATATATTAAAAACATATCATAAAGATAGTCTCGCGTCGTGTGTCTGAATATCATATATATATATACTAGTATATCACACCTGTACCCGTCACAACGATACAAATATCACTGTAGAGATTGCACGTTTACCTTGGCAACGCGCGCGACGATCTCCGACATGACGAGGGTTTGGGTACCATGTTGGACCAACTAAACAACAGAGGAAAGCAAATAGATCAGGCTTGGTTGGCGTGGATAGAATGAACGATAAACACTCACAGCTAAACTGCCCAACACAGCGGGAAGGAAGCACAGGTTGATGCCATGGTTCTGCATGTGACTTCGCAGGTGGTTCCCATCCGAAACGTAAATGACATCGCGGGTGTCCACAGCAGGCTCTGAATTCTGCATGGTCATGGTCGCGTCTTCAGGGACGGCGTCGCCTAACGTGACGAGGCGGGCGGCAAACTCGGCGATTGTCGTCGCCATCGTGTGTACAATGTGTGCTTCGTATCGCTCAATCTACTTGTACACACGTCATCGCATGCATTTTCAATCCCTACAACGACTAGAAATGGACCACAATATCACGATAAAAGGTGAAAACACACCACTATACTTGGACACTAATGGTTTCATGTTACGTACCGAGCTAGACGCAATTATCTTGTCGGGTTCACGAAGCATGGACACGTACGACTTGATCTCGTGCGATGGATTCAGCACAAACGCTTGCTTTAGGTGCAGCGGCAGGCGGGGATTGTCCGGGTTGAACGTAAATACAACGTCCCCATACACTTTGGTTCCCACGACGCTGGACGCCCTCGAGTTGACGGCCGTGGACACGATATCCGTGGAAAAGTACAGCAGGTCCAAGTACGGCAGCAGCGCAAACTTGCTCTTGATGCCCTTCATGTTCAAGTAGTGCACCAGCCCCGTCTTGCTCTTCTCCAGCTCGGCTTTCATCGCGGCCAAGTCGGCGTCCGTGAGCATTTCGACCGGACGCGCGGCATCCCCCCGCACAAAACAGCCGGCCATCGCCGCCGTCGGTCGCAACGACGTGCGCAACACGTTGGCATATGGCGACTGAATTTGCATACAATAAATGTCGTCCGACACGATGTTGCTACGCGATCACACGAGCATACAAGATGACCACATCGCCGATAACTGTCTGTTTGCATGACAAGGGAGATTCTATAGTTGTTTAGAGAAATATTGTGAAGTCGCTATAAATTTCCGAAAAAATATCGAATCACGCTGAAATTTCTGATTGGCATACTTGCCTTTCTGTAAGCGCCAATCAAATCCACTCAAAATTGGATTAGCCAATAGCGTCGATTCGTGATTCAATATGGCGGCAAGATTATTCGACAGGGTCTGGAAATTTATTAAGAGGCCACAATACACGGTACAACAATGAGATTGTCAAATATTGTCAAATCTGTTCCACTGTGTGAACCTTAGGCAAATGTAGTTTAGAATGTCCTAACCAATCATAATTCACAATTTAGCAATTTCAACCAATCATCGATCAAAAAGAACATCTTTGAATGTTTGTATACGTACATTGAAAAGCTAAAAATCTGACACCAATCGATTAAACCGAGATATTTTCGCCACAAAATTGCAAATATATTGGACAAAACCAAGATGTTGCAAAGTGCAGATATTCCCTCTGCAAAGCAGTCAACTACATGCATACTAGTACCGGTATATCGACGAAAACAGCGGCAGCTCGTTGAACGCGAGCGCGTCCAGCACTTGGGCAGGCCGAGTGAACCTCAAATTCGCCAGCAATGCATGCACTTGGTTGTTGTGGAGGTGCACTGGATGCGGGTCTCCAATCGGTTGGGCGTACACCGCTACCCGCATCTCCCGCACCTGATCACGGAGCCACCATCATGACTAACTCCATACAAGGCGACGATGGGGCTTACTTCGAGCGTCGCAACCAGAGGAAACTTGAGCTGTTGGACCTCTCTGTACTTGTCGCCGCCCTGGATCGTGGCCATGGCGATCGTTCGGAACACGTCGTACAGTTCCTTGAACGTTCCCAGGAACCGCATGTCTTGCTTGAGTTGCTTGGCGCAGCTCCAATGGTGTCCGGCGACCTTGACGATCAACGGGCCGACTTTGTACAGGGTCATCTGGGGGTGTGACCGGTCGTGCCACCATTCCCTGCGTTGGTCGTGATTACGTCATCACATTGTCGTACGTACGAGCCTGCCTCGTCGCATGGAATGCATGCAAACGCGGTCGGGTCGGGGGAGTGCACGACCGCGTCCACAAGCATCAGCGCATATTGGTTGAACTGGAGCCATAGCTACAAGGACACACGCCGATGTAAACATCGCCCCACACTAGTGTGGATGCATCAAACAACCATATTTTTGACGTACCCCGTACATGCGCTTCATACGGCGCACTTGCATGTTAAAGCCGTCGCCCAGTGGCGAGCGCAGACAGAATTGCCACTCCTTGTTCCAGTCGCGGGGTTTGATCTTGAGCACGAGCTCCCGCCGCTAAATTGTAGACCTGTCGATGAAACGAAAGCTCATCAAGAGGAAGGATCGTTACGGTGTGGATGTCGTGCGCCTTCAACGCGTCCTTGAACCCTGCCGTCCACTCACGGCGTCCTGCCGCGTTTTCATCTATTCCGCGGCAACGTCAACGGGAACATGGAGAGATGAATTACCTGCGATCTCCTGCATCATGTCGTTCCATTCGTGGGCTTCGCCTTCGGACGTGAAGCCCAACACGCTTGTGTCGTCCTCAAAGGACACGGTGAACGTGAAGTACTGGTTCACCTTGGTCACCACTGAACCAATGACAGTCTATGCATACATGAGATGGAGCGATTGAGGGAATAGTCCTAGGGTATACCTCCACCAAGTCCCAGCATTTGCCGCGCGTGCCGCTACATGATCGTCAATCAGTCGTCTAACCGTAAATGCTGTAGGGAGGAGGCTTACGCTTGCTCCTTGTCCCACATGAACCATCCATCGCTCAGTAATGTGAACTGGCGCGACCTCCATGGCCGCAGGATCCCTTGGTTCTTCTTGTACCCGTGCGTGGTCGCGACTATGGACATGCCTTCCGATGGACCGTCGTTAAAACAAAAATGCCTTGTTCTGATTGGCTGTCTGTATTTGTCGACCCCTCTACAAATACTTGTCTGTAACGTTGTAAGAGCACATGTTAAGTCATGTTAAGTCACACCGTTGCTATAGTAGGCTGTCTTCCCCTGCACGGGACGACTATCCTACCGTGAAGGACGAGCATGATCAAAAGCGCAACAATGAACCAAGCCAGTTGCATGCTTCTTACGTGCCAGCGACAGAGACGCTAAAATAGTGCAAATTGCACCTGACATTGCAGGCCATTTGCATCCAAAACATAGGGTTTTCACGAATGTCGTCGAGGGATACAATTGCATCGATCTCAAACTCATTACAACAACAGCCGTACTTCAAGTTACTAGATTTGTACTACTCGTACACCCCACTTGGTCGATGCATCAACTAACTATTACTACGTAGTAGTACATACTGTACTGTACCTATCTCGTGGTCATTCTCATGACTAGTATAGCAACACCGATAGTCGAATGGATACAATAACTTAAAGGCGGCATGGACTACACATACCCCCGACAGCACCTACAGATACAAGCCCGAATCGGACGCCATGGACGTCCTTGTGTCTCGGTAGTCGCCGCCAAACGAGAAGGCCGTGTCCCGCATGTCGCCACCAGACGTTCGGGTGAACCGAATCGACTCCAAACTCAGCGCGGTGGGGCGAACGGCATAGTTGTACGAATGGGGGCGCGGGCTCATGGAGAACGACTGGCTCGACCGAGCCGACTGCGCCGGGGACAACGCAAACGAGTCGTTGGGCATGTCGATCACCGGGCAAGATGACCGAGGGGACGAGTAGCACAGCGACGGCTTGTGGCCTTCGGTGGCTTCTTCGCCGCGGTCACTGAGTAGAGGGATGCCACTGTCGCCGCTTATCCGTCGGAGGCGATGATCTCGGCTGTCAACCATGTACACTGAGCTGGACGACTCAACGTTTTCTCGGGGCGTCGACGTCCTTGGCATCGGAGACACCACGATGGGCGCAGACGACATGCCAAATGAAGGAGTCGGCGAATGTACTAGCGGTGCATTAGGGCCGTTCTAGAAGAGTTCGATCAGAACGATACCAAACACTCGAAACATACCACTGACGCGGTGTACGCCGACGACGCCGCCGATGATGATGGTCGTCGGGGTGGCAGCAAGGGGGGTGCAAACTGTCCTGGGAAGAGAATCGTAGACGGAGCGTTGGTGTCGCTGGCAATGGAAGTCTTGCGGGACTGACTCCCGGTAGACGACGAAGAAGGCGCGTGGCTGGACCGACCGGCTTCGTCGTGCATGGCTTGGATCTGTCGCAAGAGGTCGAGGTTATCTTTGGTTTGGCGAATCGTGTCGTGGGAGCTGGCTTGGATATCGCGGATGTTGGCGTGAGAGGTGGCGTGGGTGGTTCTGGTCACACACATAACTGGCGATAGTGATCGCTGCGACGTACTGAGTACGGCAGCATCGGGGGAGGCTTTGGACACACGTGATGACGGGTGAGGAAGGACGGGGACGTCACTGGACAGGAGAGAATACTTGCGCGACCGAGCCGGTTGGTGGGTCACCGCCACAAGCGACGACAGTGTCTTCAGATCTGCCGAGTCACGAAGGCTTCGAATGGCGTCGGCGACGGTTGCCGATGGAGTAGTACCGCGGATCGACAGTGGGCGAGAAGGACTGTAGTCCTTGAACGAGTTGATGGTGGCGTCGGCAGGGTTTGGAGCTGCCGGGTCTGAAAACGTCGTGCTTATCATGGGTTTGTCTCGCGTGAACGAGTCATCGTCGTCAGTGTGCGATGCCTTGGGGAGACGTCCCTTGGAATACTTGGCGGGCATGCATGTATTGCCCATGGGTAGTCAGTCTGTCAATCCTCGTGTTGTGTGCAGTCGAGCGATTGGCGGTGAGTCGGGGAATGATGCGCACTGGCAAACAAACCCAAGTTGCTCGAAATAATAATTGCCCTGTTTATTGGTCGGTTCCATATAATTATGGCTAATGGAGGGCGAAAATAAAATAAAAGTCCTGCTGAATCCAACAACAGGTGTACCGTATGCAAATTAATAGTTTCAGCCACATGCAAAGGCTGGGTAGCGCATACATATGGAGAGCTGCTGTAGTGTGGTTCTCACAACACCATCATGGAGAAGATCGACTGCGTCCTATGTAGCGGAAGCCCCCGTGGATATGTGTCAGGGTGGCTAGCCTGACGTTGTCGAGTGTTGGAAACTGCAACTTCATAGTCGCGAATACTGTACGTACGTGGGGGTTTACAATTGTGAGTACATCTCTGATATCCCTCGAGAAATCCTCTGATCACTTGAGCGTTAACTTACACCAGTGATTTCTACCTCAAGCGACCCTGAAAGACCACCAGCACAGACAGCGCAAGCTGATGGGAGTTTAGGCACGGGAGCACACTTCGAGGCACATGATCTTTCGATTAGGATACATGATATTTCCAGTGCACTGTATATTCCGGACTTGCGGCGCATTGGAAAAAGATTACTAGTATTTCGAAGAATCGATGGATTATTTCTGAGCGAGGGCTCAGAATGGAGCAATTTCGAGCAAACTGAGGTGGACAGCTAGCTGTGAGGGGGCCTTTGGGAATAATTTTTGCGGCATAAACGCTAGCAACAGACAGTTAATATGAACACTGTTAGCCCACAGGCCAAGCTACAAAAATGGTAGTTAAACGCATCCTCAATGTTGATATTCTCGCTGAAGCGATGTTGCAAATTTTCAACATGAGTCGTTTTTCATCGTATTATATTATATACTTCCACATCTAATAAACACGTTTTTCATTATAAGAATATAAATAGGTGATGATCAGTTCTCTCATAATCGATATACATTTTCAGAAGTCCATCTCACAGCGCTGTCGAATACTGTAAGTTGGGCCACTGAGGCACATTCCGAGCGTATTTACAGTTAATACGAACATAAGGGCGGCGGGTCTGGATGCCACGAAAACTGGCATAAAATGGCCGTTTTCCAAGAAAAGTTGCCAAAATCGAAATATTCCATTTTTCTAGATTTTGTGCGTCTGGATTTCAAAACTTTATGCCTCAATTTTCTTGAGAATCGGGTGCTTTATGGAGATTTGTGTTCACGTTGAATGTCTTGCACTTCTCAGTCGGAAATCGAGTGATTTTTCCGTAATTCAACTGGCATCCAGACAACTTTGTAGATACTTCTTTTCTCCTTTTCGTCATGGGATACTAGTATGAAACTTTGTCATATTTTGCAGACTTAGTAGTAAGTTATGGGGTGGCTGGCATCCAGACCAGCCCTAACAGTAACTGTAAGCAAGCGTTTTCCTTGCGAATTCCAAGTACAATATGACATATGATAATGAAAATTCTCTATATTAGTAACATCTCACACATGCTACTGGGGCTAGGCTCATTGCCCGTGGTATAACCCCCATCAATGAGCCTAACCCCGGAGAATGAGCATTAAATGAATCCATCGTGATTTTGGGATTAATGGGTCACAGAGCTACGGGGTATCGGGCTTCCGAAGTTACAGGGCTACGAGGTAAAACGGGTAATTCAGAAACATATGGAAGAAATTAATGCTCGAAAATTCTTCACTGTCAAACTGACCTGATTTGGTGTGCCCTTTTAAGTGGTACTTGTTGTACGCTGGAAGCGTTCCCTATGGTCGAAGTTGCTCGAAAATTCTCCATTCTGAGGCCTCGCTCGGACATACCGTATTGTACCTCGGTACTGCAATCCAGTGTTGATATTCATGGTAGCCCTGCTACAGTGTACTACTGTAGTTGACCGCAGCTTTACAATGCAGCGAGGATAAGCTTCCTGATGTTCTGCAGCATATGACGAGGAGCCAAGGCGCACAGTTTCCCTCAATCCAATTCCAGTTGTAACATTATTGTTGCTTGCGGTGAGAGTTATTATTCACTAACCAACACTTGCCAACGCCAAAATGTTGACGGTCTGCATCGTTAAGCGGCTCTATATCGCCCCGCGCCGTGTCCGAACGGAAGTGGGGCCGCCACGTCACGAGACCCCATGATGATTTCCATTTGTGCGAGTCCAAATTCTCCTGTACTACTGCAGTAGTAGGTGCAATTTCGGCTTTGTCTTCGGCTTCTCGGGCTAAGGAATGGGACATAACCGCCAATTCCTCAGTAAACACGTCCACGTGTTTCGACTTAGCGCGATTCTGGGTGGTGGGCGTCGCCGCCATGGGCGAGGGGAGCGACATGTGCACCATCGCGGCAGTGTCAGAAAACAGATTGGTCGATGCTGTCCCTGGGCCCCCCCTCGCGTCCCACGCCGCCGCGATGAACACCTTCGGGTCTGCCAGCATGACATTGAACTCTCGGATGGAAGCGTCCTGAGCTCCTTCTTGGAGGATGTCGAACTCGCCATTGACAATGGCCCATTCCGTGTTGTCCACAGGCAACGCCTCCAACAAGGTCGCGTTCAATTCTCGCAACCGACGGACCACATGATTGATTTTGGCTTTGAGGGCGCGGTGTTTCTTGCACAAGCGGCGGACTTCTGTGCGTGGAATCACGCAGCGCTCGTGCTTTTCACCGACCATGACCAAGATCAACTCGACTTTTTGGCTGTGTCTGCCTTGGGCCAGCAGCGGTCGGATGGCGTCGAGGGTGATACTGGACCGTCGCTGCACTGGCGGGATCGTATCAGGGTCGAAGGACGAGTCCTTGATCGTCGGACAGTCGGCCTCGTCCATCGATTGTAGACACGCATTTCCCATGTCAATTCAATGAAGAACCCTACCAAGGGTGAAATGTAGTGTACCAACAGCCGCTCAAGATCCAAATTTTGATTGGCATCCCACTCAATCAATACAGTACTGTAGTTATTACTCCTAGCTAGGGCAAATCTCCGGATTCTAGATTCACTACCAACGAGGGACGCCACAACTCTTCACGCACACTCATTCAATGAGCAAGGCACGTTGCTCATTGAATGAAGAATCTAGCATACGACCGTACAGAATTGGATTGTTTCCGCGGTAAACTCAATCTCGTACTAGTATATCGGACTGAGCTTAGGGCATTCCAATGTGGCCTACTTACTGTTTACTGTTTACTCACAGACTTATTGTTAGTTCCTATACAGTAGCCGTTACAGAAAGCCCGTGACGGTTTCACATTACCCATATCGTTCCAGTCGTAGCGACGTCATGTCCACCCGAGCGGCTGCCAAACCCACGGCAGTACTAGACGCACTCGACCCAAAGGAGGTCGCAACGCAGTACCTCCAGGCCAACAAACTCAACGAAGTGTTCCGGGTACGCACCGTAGGCAGCACAAGTTGAAAGAGTAGAATATATTTCGTTTCACTACTTTTTTGAATGATTCACCAGACACTATTGCACGTGTACCCTATTGTAGGAGCTGTGCACGTTGGTACTGCACCGACGACCAGCGAACCCGCGCGAATTTTTGATTGAGCAACTGGAGGCCATGCGTTCCGCCCGTGAAAATCGAAATGCGGTGAACATGTCAAGTTTGTTGTCCATTTCTCTCATCCAATAATGTGTATAGACGTCATTCTTTAACGAAACAGACCTCGGCACCATGTTTACCATGTTCGACGTGACCAACCAAGGCACAATCTCCATTGCTCAATATGACCAAGGTACAGTTGTCCTTTCACCATTGGCTCAATGGCCAAACCTTTTGTTATACATCCATGTTACGATTCTTTCAATTGCTACTAGAGTAAATTCACGTTGACATAGGATTGAAGTGCTTGGGTATCGAACGGCCCACGTTGCGGCTGCCTGAATCCATCCATCGAGTGGACCGAACGCTGTTTGTACGCAGCATGTATGGACATTCTCTCCAGTTGTGTGGGGGGCGTACTGTGATTGAATGATATATAATGTGAGCGCATCGTAGGACCCAAGAACTCAAGAACAACTCGTACTTGTAGTTACCGCCCTGTTGGTTGGATTCACAAGTTTCCATAACACCCATTCAAACACAAAGTTCATTGTGATGTTGTTATCGTTAGCTTTACATGATGGTCAAGTCGTCGTTAAAGTAAATGTGCAAAATGGGCTTGAACTCGTCGGCGTCCATGCCGAGCTTTTCAAACTCGAGAGATTCATCGGGAAGGCCATTTTCCGCCAACGTTTTCGCCATGTCCAACGGCACAAACTCGTCGCCGTCCAAGTACTATTTCGTAGCAATATATCGTGATTTGAACAATAATAGTTGATCCATAGTATTGCTGTTGGACGAAGTATCATAGTATACAAACCAACCTTCCACGTGTAGCTGCCCGCGTGCGCGTTGAATTGCAAGTCAATGTACCGGTACTGAATTTCCTCGATCGTCTCCTCCGAACACACTTGGAGCGAGTGCATTTGGTGCGTCAATGTGTTGACAACTTGAATCGCGCGCACTCGCTGAGTAATAAACCCGATAAAGTACTGGTCATCCTATACCAAATGAAGCGTGAAACACATTCAAAGTGCACACACAAGATATGGACTTGAGTGCTTACGTTCCACCATGGCTTCAAGTCAAGCGTGTTCCATGTGGACACGGGCTCTGGTGGCGGCACATGGAGAAAACGGCCGTGCGGCAAGTACGGCAGTCGGAGGTTCCGATCCGGATCAATATGAGTTTTCACCTGTTCGTATGAACTTGAAGTTACACTTTTCAACGTGGTAAAAAGCACGTACGTCGCGGGAATCCGAGTCAAACCAGTGCGAAATGTCTTCGCCGGCGTGGTTGACGATGGGTTGGGTGAGCGCCCCGCGGTTCTTGGCCACGAGTTCCGTGAGATCCAACACTCGTGAAAACACCACGACCCAGCAGTCCTATCGAACGTTCCGTCAGCGTCTGGTTGATCAGGCACAGAGGGGCTACCTCTGCGCACTTGTGCACCGACACTTCCTCCGGCGTGTAGTGCCGGCGATGGATCTTGGGCAGGTCAAATTTCGGCATCCTTGGCTGGCAGGTGTCAATGGAACCGAGTGACTTTCTGTGTGAGCAGTTACGCAAACCGTTTCACATTTTTGCAAGATGTCGTCAATGCGTTTCATATTAGGCCTTACATCAGCACGACAACTATGGCTAGCCGCTACACGTCATATTAAACGTCCCCAGAATTATTGCCACCGGTAGGCATGGCCGATTGCTCTGGTCTGGTCCCGTCAGATGACGACTTGGAGCGCTGGAGCTCTCTGAAGATGCGAACTTTCGACTTTCGGGGGTGGTTGGTCGGGACAGCGGCGGCGGCTGGTGCTACTTCAAAGTGCACCGCCGCGGCTGCATTCGGATCCAATACATAATGCGGCTTAGGGTCGCCGGGTAGAACTACCATTCACATAGACTTTCGTTCAAGTTGCTTGCAATAGAGAGGGGGGTATGAGGGGTATGACCTACCTCGATATGTTTCTGCAATGAACGACGCGCGCACTTGGAACGCTGCAGTCGGTCGAGGAACCACGGGTGTTTCCTTGAGGCTATTGCGAAAAATCCGGTGGTGGCGCGCCAACTCCAGTTTCGCCGCGAGCTGTTGCTGTTCCTGGAGCTTTTCGTCCACCACTTTCCTTCGGTCCGCCAACTCTGCTCGTAATTTATCGCGCTTCTCCCGGCTAATGTTGATTTCGTCGGCGGCCTTTTGCCTCAGCTTGTCCCTTAACCGCCGCCTCCGTTCCGACGACTGCTTCGACGTTTTCGTCGTTGGTTGCCCCACCGCCGCCGCTGCTGCCTGGAGTTTACGTGCCTGCAATTTGGCCTTGGTGTCGGCGATCTCTCGGTCCCGCCGGGCACGGTGCTCCGCCTCGGCCGCCTCGATGCCTTCTTGGCGCCTCAATTCGCGTTGGTGCCTCGCCAGCTCTTGCACGGCATTTCTTCGCTCCAACTCTTCCTGTTCCAGCTTCAGTTGCGTTTCTCGATGCAAATTGGCCTGGGCAATCGAATCCTCAGCTCGCCATCGTATTTCCACTTGTCGCTCCTCGTTCGCATGGACTTCGATCAGGACATCACGAACAAACGACGTCGCTACTTCGTCCGTCGCCATGCGAAACGCTTCCCGTTCTTCAAGAGCAAGAAATGCCGCTCTCTCGCGCGCCGCGGTCTCGGCCTCTGCCCTCTCATCCTGGTACTGCTTCCACCGCACTTTGAAGTTCAAGCGTGCCAACCACCCCCGAAGCATGCGCTGAAGGCACGTTGCGGCTGTGATCTCCACCTGCCGTTTCTGCATGTCTGCGAATTCTTGAGCTTGAGCCTCGCGAGCGGTGGCATCCGCCTCTCGATTCGCAGCGTCCTGAAACTGGTCAACTTCTTGTTCCCGACGGAGGGCAAACGCAGCGGTGACGTCGTCCTGTGCTTGTTTGTCCTGTACTCGCAGTAGTTTCTTGAGCTACTCAGGATATATAAGGGATGCGAAACTGGTCCCCAAACGAACCTTAATGCGGGCCACCGTCGCCCGTACAAAACACTGCAGTGAGATGGCCGCATGTCGAACGGTGTCGGGATTGAGCCGTCTCCGTCGGTCTTGGTGCATACTCAGTAGGGCCACGGCCATCGAGTGCGCTTTCCCCAGCGAAATGTGCAAAACGTTTGGCGGATCGACGGGTTTCGACTTCACAGGTACAGTCCATACCATCTGGGGCGAGTCGTGGTTTCGCTCGTCGCCGGCTCCAATCTGCCCTTCTTCCCCGAATCCCCACATATACAGCACCCCCGTGTCCGTCACAGCCGCCGAATGACCAAACCCACAAGCGATTACATGGACATGTTCGAGGGCTTTGATCGGTTTTGGGACCAGCGCATCGTGACACGACCCTAACCCCAACTACCACTGGATAAGGACTTGATTCATTCAGTGTGCAAGGTACCTGGCCAAAGCTACCCCAACCCCACGCAAACACCTAGTACAAGCACGCCGTGAATGATATTGCACAGATAGGATGATATATATATATATATATATATATTGCCATGCCCTATACCTTTTTGCACGACGACAAGGCCAGGGAATGAGCACCTCCACAACTCAACGTCGTGACTTTAACATGTCGAAGCCCTTCGACGCACTTGACACTAGAGCACGAAGTATTAGATTGATGTAACGCTAACGATGCATGCCTTGGATGAGACTCTTCGTTGCCGTGGCCCAGACGCCCTTGCTCCCCCCACCCCCACGTGTAGACAGCCCCTGAATCCACGACGCCCGCGGAGTGATTCATGCCACACGCAATGTGCACGAATGTCGTGTCTGGTGGTAGTGGCACTCGACATGGCTCCTCGCAACAGTTGACATACGAGCCAATGCCCAATTGGCCTGCTCGACCGCCCCCACAGCTAAATAGGGCTCCATCGGTGGCCAAAAATAATGTGTGTTCTTCTCCACATGCAACTTGTCTAGATCGGAAAAAGAAAAACCCATCCAGCGTGAAGACATTTGAAATATTATAGCGTAATATGTAAGTTGTTGTCGTGTGCCAAACCGTATGTAAATCGAGTGCAGCACAAACGTCGACTTGATCTGGCGGGGGGTGTACGCACTACATCATAATCACCACTTAAGAACGTTTGAAACGCCCAGTGTATGAACGTACTTGTGGTCATCCCCGTGCCCCAAGCGACCCGACTGGCCTCTTCCCCACGTGTAAACAGCTCCATCATCCGATACGAGCGCCATATGCCCCGGGCCGCAGCTCATGCTTCGAACGACAACGTTGTCGAGCCCCGTCACACGTTCGGGGACTTTGATGTTTTGGCTTGCGTCTAGCGGTAACCGGCCCCACACGTAAACGTGCCCGAGCTCGTTGATGGCTGTTGTAAGCAAGTCTCCACAGCACAGCTACAGCCACGGCTTAATGTACAGCAACGTGGAAGGACGAACCTGCACGCGTCCAAGATCGCTGGTGATGCGATAGAGTGCCAGCACAAGCTCTGGTGTTGCGCGGTGGCGGTCATCACCGAGCCCGAGCTGCCCGTGGCTGCCACTGCCCCAACTACGCACCTCCATGGTCGAGTAGAAGTCCTCCGCAGTCGTTTTGACCTCCTTGGGTTTCGGCAGCGAGTACGCGCCTTTGTACGTGGGGACAACTTCGTTGCGTTGGAGATCCGACCCCAGCCGTTTGAGAAAGTCGCGCTTCGCCTGCTCCGTCTTGGAAAAGCTGAATGAGGACGCATGTCGTGATATTAAGTGCAATGGCGAGGCTTCTGTCGCGACCACGTGCTTGGCGCCACCCCTTTCTCTCCTCTTCATGTCGGTTTCGCAGTTTCACGTGAAACTGCCAGTGCAGGCACTTGACCAGCATTGGGCTGTCATCGTGCCTCCCCTAGGAATGCACTGCCGTAGGCTTAGAGAATATTTTGCCTGTCCCTGGCATGCTTTATTCGACTTGGGCACCAACGTCGAATTGGAAGAGGCACCATCACCCCCCCCCAAACCCTTGACTTAACATTGCATTTTTTTAGTGGTCCTTCGCCTTGCGAGGGGATGGCTTCGGTCATTGTTACCATTATCCGTGGTCACTTCGGCCACTGGCGAGTCAGTTAAACTAGCTGCAATAGATGCGGACAACGACACACAGCTTTATGGGCCGTAAGGGCGATTGATGAGCTACATAGCTCATTTCTTGACCGGTGGTGGTGTCTGTGGACATGGTGGACCGATGGACGAGATCCTTTGACGAATCCGATGACGATAACATCGACGGTTCATGGGGGGCAAGAGGCGCGACGTGGTCGTCGGCTTCGGGGGCGTCGGACTCTATTTCTTCGGCCATCGCCTACTGTACCACAAATCAGTCATCAGGAGCTTAGAACGTCACGCCTTGGACCATGTTCCTTGCCCGTACCGTGATATTTAACGGTCGCAATGTGTTGATCAATACTGTACAGGGCAGGCAGAAATACCACCCCACACTTCGATGAATTGTCGGTGCAAACGCCACCAGGGTAACTAACGTTCCCATCACCCCAGACCAGGTAAAGTCAGCATGCGACCGATTCATCAGTGCATGTAACGCGTTGGGGGCGGAAATTATGTCATTTTTGTAGCCCATGCTTACCATACAAATTTCGAGATTAAAGTACACTGGTACCTTGCGACAATGTTTGCAAAATCTCTCTAGTGTGCGAAACTTGAATTTGATTGCGAAAAAATACGATTCAGTTTAAGGAGGTCCAAATATTATTAGAGTAACGTTAGTGGTCGGTCAAAATCTCGCCCAACGTAGTACACTTCTCGGCTGCAGATCGCTGGCGTCACGCATGCAAACCTAAACGCCAGAATAGATCGTCGTTCGTCGGTCATTTTTCAATTGGCAATCAAACGGTGGGCATAGCAATGGAATTTGGCGTCGCATTGGCCGTCGGTGTCGTTGTAGCGGCAGTGACTGTCGTTGCCAGACACCGGAAACAAAGTAGTACTGTGACCAGGGGCTGTGTGGCGTTGGTTCGCCTTGGGGACGCAAGAGCCGACGTGGCTAAGCCTCTTGACGAGGCAATCTACCCAAGCGACAGCTACGCCATCGTCACCTCGCCCAAGTCCCCCAGCTCATCTCTCCACACGGCTACCGCGATGGAAGCAACCATTTAACGATCAAGCCGACGTGTGTATTTATTGTTCCCCCAAGTCGTTTTTGAAGAAACGATCATATTTTACTCTTCATTTGTTGCAGTCTAACTGTAAGCTGATTTGGTACTCGTCGACAGACATGCTTCTACAGATTTCCACGCAAACGACATAATAGTAATTGTCATGCACAATAAAAATGTGTGGGCCACGAGTTGTTATTAATACCAGGGAATATATTTTTTTAGTATATATTAATATTTCACCATGCAATGATAACGATCTGAAATCGTTCCAATAGGAACAACCCCACGTCTATCTACATGGTGCTGTTCTGGTTGCTGTAGCCGCTTTGGCTCGACTTTTCAACTGCTTTTCGGAACTTGCGGAGGGCGTACGACACCACCGTCGCCTTGGGGCGTTGCGCAGGGTCGAATTCCAAGCATTGCTGGGCCACTGCCAAGATCTCAGGGGGCATCGACGCAGAGAAGGTTGGCTTGAGCTGGTTCTTGGACACAAGTTCCATGATGCCGTGGTCTTGCAGCCTGCCGCCGTTGGTGTTGGTCGAGTCGCTGTAAGGAACGTTGCCTACGACAGCACACAATACCCAAAGACATTAATAATATTGCAATTGTGCATTTTGTCCAAATTAAGCTTCGTATTGTTGAAATCATCCAGAAATCGGGTAAAACAGTATAATTGGATAAAAATAATGAAGATTGCAATATGATTGGCTAAATTCCACGAATGAAGTTGCACGCAAAAACCTCATCAACTTGGATATGTATCATATTTCGCACGCCCAAAGAAATCACGAGTAGTTATTGTGTTTTTTCGAGTGAAATTTCATTGTGTTGTGGCGTGGTTTCTCGTTGGAATGTAAATCGATTTGATTGGCTACTTCAGAAGAGCTCAAAATTATTAGCCAATCAAAACCCATTTCTCAATGAAATTCAACCAATCAGATCGATTGTGGATCGGTTTGGTCGGCGCGATTCGATTGCACCACCCTCCCCAAATTTGTATCAAATCGACAATACGTAACTTATTGTCGACAAAGACTTCAAAGGACACAATAATAATACCCCCGTCGAACAAGCAAAGAAACATCCATGATCCATCCATCCACCAACCAAACCCAGCCGACAACTACATTGATAGCCAGACGCACCCGTGTCCATCTCGGCGAGGACGCACCCAAACGACCACACGTCGCACGCAGCATCGTACTTCTCGCCTCGAATGACTTCTGGCGCCATCCAGCGACACGTGCCGACGCCCGCCGTCATGGTTTCGTCGGCTGCGCGGTTGCGCGAAATGCCAAAGTCCGACAGCTTGGCGCCCGTGTCGGCGTCGATGAGGATATTGCGCGACTAGACCCGCAAAACCATTACCAAATCAATAGCACATTATATGGGCACATGTTTCTACCTTGAGATCGCGATGGACAAACACTGGGTTGAGAGTGTGGAGGTACACGAGCGCGTCCGAAACGTCGACGGCCAAGTTGAGTTTGACGCTGAGCCAGGGTAACTCCTGGCCGCTCTTGGCGCTGCGGTCGAGCAGCGACTTGAGATCCCCGCAGTTCATGTACTCCGAGATCGCTTGGATGTTGACCGCATTCGACCACGACGCCCCGATGAACGTGACGATCTTGGGGTGCTGGAGCCGCGCCATGAGTTTAATTTCGGCCGCAAATGCCATGGCGTCGTCAAAGTTCTTCTTGTCTGGAAGGAGTTTCTTGATGGCCACGGGGTTGTTCTGGTAGATGCCGCTCCAGACTTCGCCAAACCCACCGCGGGAAATCATCTGAATCTCGGTCACTTCGGCGGCGTTGATGCGCACCGCGAGCAGCTCCGGGTCGTCCAATATGCCAAGTGTGTCCCCCCCACCTGAGTTGTACGGGTACGACCCCGTCGGGTTGTGTGTATTGTAGTATGGCCCCTTGGACGTGTCCGGTGGGTGCCCATAGTCGGTCCCCTTGCGGCGGTTTCGCAGGACAAACAACGCCACCAAAGCGACCGCGACGACGGCGCCGGCGACGATCCCGACCAGCGCGCCGGTACTGAGCCCCCCGTCGTCGGACGCGTTAGGGGGAGCCGTCACCACTGGACTGGACTCGCCCACAACGCACACCCGGACACCGCCCACGGCGCTGCTGAGCGGGTTCGTGGTAGGGTTGAAGCCAGAACCATCGGGGCATTTGGACACTGTGAAATCCGCCTCAAAGTTCCGGCCCAGGGTTTGCAACTTGAGCACTTGAGATGGCGTCAGCACGACGTTGGACAGTCCGTTGCCCGTGATGGTTCTATCAGGGGTCACCACGTCACACACAAACATATGCCTCGATTCGAAATTGGAGTGCTCAAATAGCAGCAATACAATCAATCGATCGACCAATGAAAACCAGACATACGAATCAAGTGGTCAATATAAAAAACAAACACACTCAAATATTGTCGATTTGATACAAATTTGGGGACGGGGTGCAATCGAATCGCGCCAACCAAACCGATCCACTATCGATCTGATTGGTTGAATTTCATTGAGAAGGTGTTGATTGGCTAATAATTTTGAGCTCATCTGAAGTAGCCAATCAAATCGATTTAAATTCCAACGAGAAACCACGCCACAACACGAAATTGCGCACACACCAAAATATCCAAGTTATGTTTGGGACAATAATGTCCGTAGTCGTCATACAGTAGACACCACAGCTTTAAAGAAAGTAGAAGTAAAACCTATGAATATATAAACGTACAATTTCGCGAGATTGTTGAGATCAAAGATAGCCGTCGGCAGCGTCGCGAATTTGTTGCGGGAGATGTCACTACGCTCAACAATGCATGAGTGGACAACGTCGGTAATGCAGTAGCTAGGTAGTTAGTAGTTAGGTACAGGGTCGTGACAGTGGCAGGGATGTTGGAAATCGTAGTGAAGTTGTTCCCGCCCAAGTACCTAAGGCAATGTCAGAAAAAGTAGTTGGCAAGGGTAGGACGGGTTCGTACAATTCTGTGAGCACCGTCGTGTCCAATGGAGGAAGGGTGGCCAAGTTGTTGTTGGTGGCGTTCCTGTCACAAGAGGTGAGAACTCGTTGAATGACAATGAATAGTCTTACAGGTACTGGAGTCGCGCGAGTTTGGTGACTTCGGTTGGCAATGTATTGAGATTGGCATTTGACAGCGCGAGGAATTTCAGGTCTGGCAGCAACTTGGTGTCGCCAGCCGCGGCGGTGAACACGTCCTGGACGTCCATGTTAAAGAGAAATCTACAACGCAATGATTGATCCCGTCGTTCAAATGGGGATGCGCGGCAGTAGGTTGTTCGTACAGGCGCTCAAGTTTGGGGTACGACTTGAAAAACGTGGACGGGTACGAGATCTTCTTGAACGTTCCTTTGGGTTGGGTGAAGGCCGTGCCAGTCAGTTGACTACGTAGCCACGGAGATGAGTCGAATCAGGATGTTGAAATGGCTGCATGTACAAGGTCGTGATGGCATTGCCCGCGCGATTTGCCGTCGTTTTGGTCAAGTCTTCGATGCTGTCGATGGGAGCGCCGACGTACAGCGGGTTGCCATTGGCGATGGTGGGGTCGCCCACGTAAAAGTTCCAGAACGGGTCCTGCGTCGAGTTGCTCGTGGCGGAGTTGCCCATGGTGGGACACTGAAACGTGAGCAAGCACTCGTTGGTCCCTAGGCTCCGTACGAGCTCACTCTGCGTCACGCACGGGCCAGTCTTGGCGTTGACCTCGATGCATTGGGCTGCCGACTTGTACAGCACGCACGTGGTGGAGCCTGTCACCTGACATGTCAAAGGACAGTCCTGGCCCACGGTTAAGATGGTCTTGGGAAGCGCACAAGGAGCGACGCTCATGACGACAGTGTGCTGCAGGGTCGGGGCAAGTACAACTGGCGATATTTCCGTTGGCACCTTGACAACCGATCTGTATGTCACCCATACTGGTACCGATGTACGGGTAATGTACGGATGACATAAATAAGTTAATTACTCCGGAGTAACATCTGAAAGTTAACATACTACGAAGTATAATACTTCGAAGTAAGACAGACACGACACAAAATGATTGGATGACCGACAAATAATTGAACTCCGATTGGTCAGCATTTTTTCCAATAATCCGATTGGACGAGGCGGTTGTCGTACCAGCAACAAATCATTAGCATTTAACACGTACGGCTTTCTATTGGTTGAAATACTGTCGAGCCGACATTGCACTCGAAACGCTGTCGATCAACATGAATAAAACGGCAAGTCGAACCAGTGTAGGGGTAGGTGGCAGCCAGCCGGCGCCCCGCCATGACGCATGGGGACCATTGGTAGGGTCCCTTGTGTAGCCTATTCGACAAAATAACGTTTGCGATTTTTAAAACGTATGAATGCGGCTAAGAGTACTGTAATGGTGGTTGCGCATCAATCAGGTGTCGGGTAGGTCGTCGATTGATTGAACATTACAGCACCTTACTCCAGTAGTGAATCCAACTGCCCACCCATTCAACAAATGATACTAACCACGTTCTCCACCTCTGCATCTCCATTTACTTTCGCGTGGGAACCACCGTACGTGTTAGCAAGGGCTGTGGGAATACTTGTAAACACTGTATGACCTCCCTTCACTGTGTGCCCCCCCTCCCACTACAACACTAAATATTCATATGTTAAATACTACAACTACTAACTTAGTTAACGTTAAGATCACTTAAATTGTTGCGAGCGACCTCACGGGTACTACACCATTTTGCAGTTAACTGTAAGTTGGACGAATGCCCGATGTATTTGGCCGGATATTCGCCGATATATTTGGTGGTGTGCCCGATATAATTAGCCATGTGCCCATTTAATTTGGCACACCGAGGTCGTGTGCCCATTTAATTTGGCGGTGTTTCCGATATATTTAGCCATGTACCCAAGCAATTGGCCATCTTCCCGAAGAATTGTGTCGTGTGCCCGATGAAAATGAAATAACTCAAATAATTATATTTCATGGAGTGCAAATCAGTTTTGGTCGAATCATCATGTGGTTGAAGTTCGGAGGAAAACGCGCGAAGGCAAGAATTCGAAACCTATATCTGAATAAAGCATAGTTTAAGTTCATAATGCGCGCGCTTTCCTCCAATATTATGACTGCTCTTATTCAAATCGCCAAGGAACGCACATCATGGACGTAGCTGCACCTCCACGAACTCCGGTAATGATGTCAATTGAAGTACTAGATAACCCCCTATGTAGCCAGAGGCCCCTACAAGCGCATACCTCTACACAAAGCAACGAGTCGTCGCAGCGTTCAGAAACGACGACGACTGGGCATCCGTACATCGGCACACGACACAATTCTTCGGGCAGTTGGGCAATTGTTTGGCCGCACGGCTAGTTATATCGGGCACACCGCCAAATATATTGGGTGCACGGCCAAATATATCGGGTGCACGACCAAATATATCGGGTGCACGGCCAAATATATCGGGTGCACGACCAAATATATCGGGTGCACGGCCAAATATATCGGGCATTCGTCCAACTTAACTGCAAAATGGTGTTGTACCACAAAACACGAAGTGAAGCTCATCACAGAGCTGATTGAGATGATGGGAAGTCGTTGCCAGCTCACAAACCTCTTATATGGAGGGAAGTTCGTGTACCAGTCAGCTATCAATGTAAATCTAGCAGTACACAAGTACTCCGTGATACCAGGTACTCCAGCAGTAGGGTCCCTTATAGCAAGGCCCTTCAAAAAATAATCTAAAAAGAATATTATTGAATAGTTTAAATAAAATAAATTATTATTTGTGCTACGTAGTAATTCAGTCCTTGAGTATTGTGCTTTGGAGTGAAATTTCGTGTTGTGGCGTGGTTTCTCGTTGGAACTTAAATCGATTTGATTGGCTACTTCAGATGAGCTCAAAAATACTAACCAATCAAAACCTTCTCAATGAAATTCAACCAATCAGATCGATAGTGGATCGGTTTGGTTGGCGCGATTCGATTGCACCCCCTCCCCAAATTTGTATCAAATCGACAATAAATAATCTACAATTGTTCCACGTATAAATAAATTGTTCAGGTTTATTCGTAGGCATTTTCAATGAACTTTTTGGACCAATTGCAAGGATGACAAGCTTCCGATTGACCCTAAGTATTGAACGGCAAAAGTTAACTAACGTTACATGTATTGTGGATTCAGTACAGATTTCCAGACCCCGTCGAATCGAATTTTGCCGCCGAATCGAATCACGAAACGACGCTATTGGCTAATCCAATTTTGAATGGATTTGATTGGCTCTTACAGAAGGACAAGTATATTCAACCAAACAGAACTCCAGCGTGATTCAATATTGATTTGTCGTCCATTGTAGACAAACCGCTCGAGTTTTGGAAGTTTATAGCGAATTCACAATACTACGAAAAGAGCTTGTAACTACGGCGCATTATTACATAGTATTTCATTTGATGTCGGCAGCTTTGAACGCCCTCCATCGTAAGGCTTTTGCTGAGCTTATTCCTTCATTGCCGCTTTATTGTCCCAACGTCAAGAATGTATGCGAGATTCTTCTCTGGCGACCACCATTGTGACTTTACTAGTTGTTGGTCTCAAATGACTTGTTAATGGAATTCGCAAGGTGAGCCACCTTGCTCCTTTTTAATATCCAATCAGAGTCCATCACACCTTGCTTCTTACACACGATTGGCTATAATACTGGCAGAAGAGGTTACAATTTTGAACTGTTTGAATTTTGTAGAGCTTTTCTGCTGGATAGAATTGTGGACTGATGAGTTCACTCCGACTATATCCAATGGGGTTCTTCCC